AGTCTTTAGAGTTTTTTGTCTTAGAACATGTACATGTATCTATACAGATAGCTTAATTAAAAATCAGAAGGAAAGATGGGGGTCAACACGATTCTTCTGGCGCTACGGTACATTTAATATGACCTTTTTGCACCGAAATTTGACTTTAACAAAAATCACATCTACGAAGTTTTTTCTCCAGATTTTTTATCCAAATAAATCATAAATTAAACTTTTGCCGAATTTAAGCAGAATGATCAATATATTAAACATGGCCGTAGGAACCGGGGGGCCGTGCCCCCCCCCCCCCAATAATTTTGCCGATATATAGAATACTATAGAAAACATAACTATTATAAGCTTGTGCCCCCTCAATAATAACGTCTGATGACTGTTTTTTTTTTTTGTTTTTTTGTTTTTTTGTTTTTTTGCTTGTCAAGGAATTTTGGTACTTGATAGTGCCCCCTCAACTGAAATGTATGGTTGTGCCCCCTCAAAGTGAAATTGCTTCCTACGGGCCTGTCAAAATATATTCAGGAAAGAAAATCGAAAGTGGGTGTCTATGATGTAAATTTTTAGATATTACTAAAAAAAAAAGTGTTGATTTTAAGTTAAAATTAGCCCTATTTTTTCTTGAACTTTCAGAATATATATTTGCTATATTTGTCACAATTTGATGGTAGAATTCATAAAAAGTTAATTTAATAGAGATATCTATGGAACGCCAAATTGACATATATTCAAATATTTGAACCTATCTTCAAATAATTGTATCTATCTTCAAATAATTGTACCTATCTCCAAATGAATTGAAGATAGGTACAATTGAATTAAAGATAGGTACAATTGAATTAAAGATAGGTGTAAATAATTATACCTATCTCTAAATAATTAAACCTAGGTTCAAATAAATTACACCTATCTTTAATGGAATTACACCTATCTTCAATTCAATTAAAGATAGGTTCAATTGAATTATACCTATCTTCAATTCATTTGAAGACAGGTACAATTGATTTAAAGATAGGTACAATTGATTTGAAGATAGGTACAATTGTAACATATCCACAAACGATTTGAAGATAGGTACAATTCAATTATACCTAGTTCAATTCGTTTTGTGTTATTGAAAATAATGAAAGCTCCCTCTAACAGCGACTTGAACATGGAGGGAACTGCACAGTGCATTTTAATGGGGAGTAGTATTTATTGTCAGTATCTTTATAATTAAAGATAGGTTCAATTCAATTGCACCTATCTTTAAATGAATTATACCTATCTTTAATTCATGGCATTTGCACCTATCTTCAAATCAATTGTACCTATCTTCAAATCAATTGTACCTATCTTCAAATGAATTAAAGATAGGTATAATTGAATTAAACCTATCTTTAATTCATTCGGAGATAGGTACAATTGATTTGAAGATAGGTATAATTAATTGAAGATAGGTATAATTAATTGAAGATAGGTTCAAATATTTGAATATATGTTAATTTGGCGTTCCCTATATATCAGGACCAACATTAAATTTTCGCTGCACAAAATAAATCATAATTATGCAGCCTGCAAGGGAAAATAGGGATCCAAAATTAACAATACTCTAAGTACTTTGAAAGAGAAAAATTGATCATCTTCTAAAAAAAAAAAACTTCCACCACAAAATATAGTTCCTCACTTTATGCTTTTTATATGGAATTTAATCATGGGTTTTTAATTGAATATAGTTTAATTTGCATTGTAGAAGCAGAATTTTAGAAATAAAGGTCCAGACAAAAATCTGCTTAAAATTTCAGAACCGAACCTCTTTAAAGCACTCAGCATATCTCTGGTGCGTTCTTTAATATCTCTACCGACAAATGAACTTCGAACTCTATAAATGGTTTCATAATTATATGGCCAGAGTAGTGTCTGTATTTTTCCTGAAATGAAAATTTAAAAAAAATTATACGCCAGCAAGGACAAAATATAAGTGAAAAGAAAAACAAGGGTGTGATATAGCATAACACAATATTAATGTCAAATATTATCTTTACAGTCTTTCTAAAGAAAGTTCGAGTAAATTGTTATTCTGTTCCGTCCGTCACACAATATCTCCTTCCTCAAACTGTTCTTAGGATAAGATAAGGCGGTGACCCATAGATATGCAACTGTATATTACGAGATAGTTTCTCGTAATTACTAGATCTTTTCTCGTAATTACGAGAAAAAATCTCGTAATTACGAGATAGTGGGGTGTGTTTTATTTTTACTTGATTCTAATAGGCTTTCGTAATAACCCAAACACCTCTTGTCTTTCTATTTCAAAAGATTCAAATTACTAGGAACCAAATGAATAGACTGATAAGTTTAAATGCTCGTTTGCAATCACAGGCACTTGGGTTATGTCCCCCCTCCCTTTTTCCATTTTTTTCCTTTTTAAATCTGGAGTCGAGTCACCTTTTGTCTATAAGCTGTTTTTAAATATATCGTTTTCGACTGATACATAAATAAGAGAGTCTTCATGTATCAGTCGAAAACGATATATTTAAAAACAGCTTATAGAGACAAAAGAGCTACATTATTGATAACATATAGTGCATATTTAGAATACAAAAATAGGAAAATGGTGACTCGATCCCAGATTTCAAAAGGAAAAATTGGAAGGGGGGGGGGGGTTCCATACCCAAAGTGCCTGTGTTTGCAATCGCGTCATACGATCCCTTAAAAAAACAAGACGTGTTTGTGAAACACTGTCCCCGTATGACAACTTATAGCAAAGGTTGTCCATAACTTTTGATTGGTTGGAGCTATGACTTTCATATTTCACATGTGTATTCCTTGTGACAAGACCATTCTTTTGGGTACCAACATATTTGACCTTGACCTTGGAGTTTGACCCAGTTTTGCAAAATTTTACCGAATTTAACCTTGGCCATAACTTTTGTACATTTGGTGCTAGGGCTTTTACTTCACATGTGTAATCCTTGTCACAAAAGCTTCCTTTGGATACCAACAATTTTGATCCTTTGACCTTGACCTTGGAATTTGATCTACTTTTTGAAAACTTTAACCTTGGCCATATCTTTTGAACGGTTGACTCTAGGGCTTTCATACTTCATTTATGTAATCCTTGTGACAAGACCTTCCTTTGGATACCAACAACTATGAACCTTTGACCTTGACCTTGGAGTTCGAACTACTTTTGGAAAACTTTAACCTTGGACATAACATTTGAACAGTTGGTGCTAGGGCTTTCATATTCCTAGTGACAAGGCCTTCCTTTTAATACCACTAATTGTAATCCATTGACCTTTACCTTGGAGGTTGACCTACTTTTGAAAAACTTTAACCTTGGTCAAAACTTTTGACGATTGGTGCTACGGCCTTCATATTTTACATGTGTATTTCTTGTGAGAAGGCCTTTTCTTGGGCACCATTAATTTTGACCATTTGACCTTGATGTTTGACTTACTTTTGAAAACCTTTTCAATATCTATTCAGTGGTTGCTGCTAGGGCTTTCATATTTAACAGGTATATTCCTCGAGACAAGACCTTACTCTGGGCACCAACATGTTTGATTTACATTTGAGAAAGCCTCACCTTTGCCATAAGTTGCCATATGGGGGCATCAGTGTTTCACAAACACTTCTTGTTTTAAATTTGCAACTGCAATAATTAAGAAAAAATTCCTAATTTTATTTTTTCGGATTTGAAGAAGTTGCAAGACAGAACTTCAAAAAGGGCTCATTTACAATGTATTGAAATAAGACTTTCATATAATTTTTCAAAGATCCGGGTTTTTATGCCCCCGTAATTGAAGATTCGGGGGTATATAGTTTTTGCCCTGTCCGTCCGTCCGTCTGTCTGTCTGTTTGTTTGTCCGCAAAAACTTTACCATTGCCCATAACTTTTGATTGGTTGGAGTTATGGCTTTCATATTTCACATGTGTATTCCTTATGACAAGACATTCCTTTGGGTACCAACATAATCGATCTCTTGACCTTGGAGTTTGACCAAAGTTTGCAGAAATTTACCCAACTTTACCTTGGTCATAATTTTTGTACAATTGGTGCTAGGGCTTTCATATCTCATATGTATATTCATCGTGATAAGAACTTTCCAGAGGTCTAAATATTTTTGACCTTAACTGTCTAGTTTGACCCACTTTTAAAAAACTTTAACCTTGGTCATAACTTTTGAACAGTTAGTGCAAGGGCTTTCAAATTTCACAGGTATATTCCTTGTGACAAGACCTTCCTTTGGATACCAACAACTTTGACCTTTGGACCTTGACCTACTTTTGAAAAATGTTGACCTTCGCCATAATTTTTGAACAGTTGGTGCTAGGACTTTTATATTTTGCATGTGTATTTCTTATTGCAAGGTCTTCCCCTGCGTACCATTAATTTTGACCCTTTGACCTTGGAGTTCGACCCACTTTTAGAAAACATCATCTTTGACCGCAACTTTTGAATGGTTGGTGCTTTGGCTTTCATATTTACCAGCTATCTCCATTAACACAAGTTCTTTCTTTCGGTTACAACATTTTTGATCTCTTGACCTTGGAGTATAACTTGCATTTGAGAAACTTTAGCCTTCGCCATAAGCAGCCATACAGGGGCATCAGTGTTTCACAAACACATCTTTTCTTGGTTGTTTTTTTTTTTTTTTTTTTTTTTTTTTTTTTTTTTTGCTTTTTTTTATTATGGGTTCCATAAATTTTGAATACAAAGGGACTGGGTGATGAATTCAATATTGGACACTTTAAAAGTAAAGTGACAATTTTCAGTGTAAACTCATCCCAACTTCAAACAACTTTCATTTTTACTACTGATGTATACATGATGTTTGCATTTCTTTCCATTTCATTTTCTTTGTGACCAAACTGGCATAATTTTCCTCCTTTTATTACATGTACTATTTTCTTTTGTTACTAAAATGGCATAAATTTACTTCTATTAGTTACAAGTACTTATATTCCTAAATACTGAAAAGTAGGTCTCATCCTTATAATTTAAAAATAAAAACAAACAGCAGTGCAAATTGCAGTCTTTTATTTCCATACGAAATAGCTGCAGTGAAGCAAAAATAAAACCTGTATAAACATCTTTCAACTGGATGTACAAAGTGTCTGTTAATGGGTAGTAAAGAAAATGCTCCGGCTCTTGGCCAAGGGATGTCCCACAGAAAAATGTGATTTTATTACAAAAGGATTTAACCCTATTGTTAAAAATATTAAAACTAAATGAACCAATTAAATCCAACCATCAATCAACGCTCAAAATATACAAAATCATTCAATTTCTGTACCACACTGACATGGTCTTGAACTGATCAACTAATATTTTTAAAAACAGAAGTAAGAAGAAACAAAACGGAATAATATAGCTTCAGATCTCTAGCTTGTATACTTTAGTTCCGGAAAACAAAACATTTGTGCTAAGCAGATAGTTGTTATGACAAGGTTGACTTTTGGTCCAATATGAAATACTAATCAGGTGACATTTTTTAATTAGTATTTATCAATCAATTTCACAAAATATTCCAAAACACATGGGCACCTGAAACTTCTGATGAATATTGGTTCAGGTGTTCACTGCATTACAGTATTCCAGTAACACGTTAGGAAGTACTTAAAAAAAAGGAAACATTAAAGATATCATGTCACAAAGAACTCAGGTCAGCAGTAACTAACAGAAACTGGTCAGTGAAAAAAAAAATCAAATGGTTATGCATATGGGAATTAAGAGGTACCCAACAAGAATACATAGAAATGTGCTTCAAAAGAAATTTTAGACATCTTAAGAATTTTATACATGATTCAGCCATCAAAAACGTTCCCAGCCGACTTAGGGTAGAAAATATTGAAACTCTCTGATAGTATCAAAAACTTCAATTATTGTTAATATGGAAGTGATTCCATTCTGAACAAAAACATAACAATCACTGTAACAGCCATCATACAATTTATAGTTGCCCCATACCTTTAGAACTTAAAACATGGTATTATCGAGTGTTTCATTGCAAATCTGAAGTGATTTTCAAATAAGTATTAAAAAATTACTCATGGAATTAAACAACACTTGCTAAATTATCAATGCCCTATCACTTGCATAGCATTTTATATCTTATTTGGTGAGGTCATACTTAAATTCAAAACTTTACTATTTCTGGTTGGGAAAAAAGTCAGTTATTTTATGAAATACAGATACTACACAATTGATCTGTTAAAAAAATAACTATAGACTCAACAGGGTACTACAAATTTTAAGGTAAAAAAATTAAGATAAAGTTGTGCACTTATGACAAAATCTTTCCCAATTAAGAATATTTCTGTCTAAATTTCAAGCTTTTCACATATTAAAGAAAAACATTCAAATAAATAACTATTTTCTTCAAATAAATGGAAATTACTCAATTTTCTGCTTGGGATATGTGCATTCAAAGAAAATTAAAGACCGTTTTTATTTTAACCTGTGAATTGTGTGGGGTTTTTTTCCAAATCATATACTGCTGCCATATTCTGCAAATGTATGAAAGAATATTTTCAGTTCATTAAATATTGCATTCATCTACCATGGTAAAGATAAAATATATACATTAATACTGTGGTTGTACCTTTCCAGCTGTATAAAATCCAAACTTCTACAAAATTCTGAAACTTTTGCCATTTCAATAAACTGAATAAGAGTCATCTTACTACTCCTTCTAACAATGTTTTGCTACAAAAATAATCTTTCTTTCAAAACTTTAACAATCAGATATGCAGAAGTAACAATTATTAAACTCTATGAAGTCTTTACACAAACAACTCTGGGGAAAAACTTACTCCACACATAAATTACAAGGACCCTGGTAAAAAAGAACTAATGCTTAAGGCCTAGCTGTTGACCACTAACATGTATTGTACTGTTTCTGTCTCTTATAAAGTTCTGTCTCCTGTATGCAATATCAGCATGGTACACAAACCTCCCAACCATTTCAGAGAAATATACCACTTGTACTATTTCACACGTCATTAAAATAATTTGTGACTTTAACGATTACAATTCTTGCTCAATGAAGTCAATCACATTAATTTACAATTCTTCATGGGGTCGAAGAATAGAAAACCTTTATCATCACATTTATTTTTAATAATTGCAATTTGTAGGAGAAGAATAGTATTTTCAAACACTAAATTTTTTTTTTGATAATAATCCTTTCAGCCACATTTCAAAGGGGACACACTTCTTCCTTTTCACAAATTTCAATAAATCATACAATTAAAATACATCTTTTTCATCTAAACATTTTCAATTTTTTACATCATGCAAAATACAGTGTACATATGAATTTGTATAATTTGAGCACTCACTGATTACATTTTCAGTACCTCTTAAAGCTGAAAACAATCACTGTGACAATTCATGCAAAATTATAATCAATGTGCTTTTATATATGTATTTGAGCAAAGTGATAATGAAATCCTTTTGACTTAGAAGTTATCTTAAAATATTTTTTTTTAGAAATTCTGCAAGATTTTCTCTTATTGTGTACACAAAAATACATGTGAAAGTTTGAAAAAGAAAACTCCACGTACATATATATATTTACATATGAAAAGCAAGGTTTAAAATAATTGGAATATGCATTGTACAAAAGCCAAACATAATCATTAGATATATTTTAATACTTTATCCCAAAACTTGCTACACATTCCAAAAGAATGAGCCAATGACCGAAAATATCATACAAAACTGTAACCAATTAGATTCAACTATAAATGATATGCTCAAGAAATACAATTTTTTTATCATAACTGAGCTCTATAAGACCCCACCAAATCAAAGAAACAATTGATACTACTCTTCAAATCAATTTAATCATTTTTTTTCTGTCTTAGCAAATGAACCCTTTCATGTGGGTAATATAAATCAATGATAAAAGATAATAACCTTGCTATAATAGCAAATGCAGCTTGTTTTAGTTTTTATCTACAGAAAAAAAATCCTCCAAAGGTAGATAATTCACTGGACTAGCAGAGACAGTCTAGCAGACGATGCACCCAGTGCATGATTTGTGGCACAACTAGATATGTGAAATGATGATGAGCTGGAAGGATCTGTTATCATGCGTTGTCGTCCGTGTCAGAATCTGATGAGGAGATAGTGTCATTGAGTTCCAGAACATTGGGCTGATATATTGGAACATGCTTTGGGCTGAGGGCTTTCTGTAATCTGCCACTATTCTTCTGAATTGTGGTCTGTCAAAAACAGTATCAATCAAATGAAATAAGTTTCTCATACAGTTCCCCCCCCCCCCCCCCACATAAAAGTATCATAGCCTTTTATTGTGTAATTTGAACAATAGAAGTCTTTGCTGACCTGTTTTGAGCATCTGTCCTGAAACTCTTTTTTCTCATCTTCAGTAATCACATAATCCTCTTCATCACTCTCAGTCCATCCCATTTCCTTCAGCAACCTAAAGCATTATATTTATGAACTGATTAACAATGAATTTACTAAAACAGTCAATAATTTTTTTAACATTATGCATAATACAATTATTTTACCAAGAAATAAATGTTTATGTACAGTGTTTAACCAAGACTATCTTCTAACTATATCCACATTCAATTGTCCATACTTTGTAAATTCCAAATCCAAAATATTCTTATAATAAATGCTTGAAACAGTACAAAGAAAACAAAAGGCCCATGGGCCATAACTCTCACCTGAGGCATTATGGCCCTGCTGCTCATCAGCCGATTTTTTTCCTATATATTCCTATGTCATAATTTCATCATCTATTGTGGCCCCACCCTACACTTGGAGGTCATGATTTGAACAAACTTCAATCTACACTACCTGAGGGGGCTTCCATATCAGTACAATATGGCCTTTGCCATTCTTAAGAGGAACATTTTAAAAGATTTTTTCTATATATTCCTACGTAAAACTCTGATCACATATATATTGTGTCCCCACTCTACCCACTGCATGACTTAAGCAAACTTGACCTTCACTACCTGAGAATGCTGCCATATCAGTATGACAAAGCATGTGTTTGCTGTTCTTGAGAAGATTTTTAAAGATTTTTTTCCCATAAAAATTTATGTAAAACTTTGTCCTTCCATTGTAGCCCCAACCCACCCCAAGAGGTCAAACTTGAATCTGCACTACCTGAGGATGCTTCAATATCTATATGACTAATCATGCCTTTGCCGTTCTTGTTGAGAAAATTGTTTACCTTATTTATTCCTATATAAAGCTTTGATCCTATATTGTGGCCCCACCCTACCCCATGGGGTCATGATCAAACTTGAATCTACTCTACCTGAGCATGCTTCCATATTAATATAACCAATCATGCCTGTGCTGTTATTGAGAAGATAACAGAAAGATCAGTAAGAGGCTTGAACTAATTTCATCATACAGTATTTCAGTTACAAAATAAATCAGGAAAGCGAAAAGCATTGAGAGCAGAACTGCTTCAGTGTTCCATCTTTCCTGCATCATCTGTGCAAAGAACTATATACGGTAAAGGCGTATTCCTGCCCCCATAATAGTCAAATTTTGAAAATCTCTTGAAATGAGCAAAAGCACATATATTGTATAAAATAATCCAAATTAAGACAATATATTATGAAATTGGAAAAATTAGTTGGTTTTTCTTGTCTCTGTAACGTCACAATCTATTTGGATTTCCGTTATTTTTAAAATAGAGGCCAAAATGCACAGAGTTTGTTCAAATTTGACTATAGTATTTATAGAGCGCAAGCTTGCTCAGGTTCCATTTTCACATATTTCATTGATATTATCATTCTACACATTATATCAAAATATCTAGTCTGAGGACCTGCGCTCGATAATTTCCAATCAAAATACCGACGTAAAATACACTATTTTCTCTCAAAATCGTTGCATTTTGGAATTTACGTCATTTTATTGACGTCATATCTAACTAATGATGTCATAGTTGATAAAAATATTTAATGCTTTGAAGTCTGCAAATATCCACCTGGTTTAGAACATAATTAAAGATTTCTCCATCAAAGTTTTATTTTGGGGGCATATACTGGCCACTACAGAATATAGTCCTTTGGTCTAGGTAGGGCTAACAGTTACATATTTGGGAGAGGACTGCTACAAAAGCTTTAATGTGGGATGCTGATACTGGGTTTAATAGCATGATTTCTCATAAAATTTCATCTATATGAGCTAAAACTTATTTTACCTTTGCTCAGCCTCCAAAGAACTAGACAGGAAATTCTCTTGGTTGTCACTCATTTCTAGTCCGCTGATGCCATTTGTAATGGTGTCCAAGCCCTCACCCTGTGATTCAAAGATAAAAATAAATACTGACTTGTATCAACCAGAAGTCTCTGAAGAGGCTGTAGCTCTACCGGTATGTATTTATAACAAAACACTTGGACTTAAAACTCTGATAACAAACAATAAACAAAATAATGATCCATGCTTTAGTCTCTTTGTGTAGAAAGTTTATACCAATCTGACTAAAACTATAAGGATGAATAGCCCTTTGAAAGAATTTCACTGAGTATTTCTATTTAAAGTAACCATTGCAAAAAACTTTCATCATAATAAGTAATCAATGAAAAGGATTATGCATCACACTAAAGTCTACTTCTGTTAGAAGTTCAACAGACGGACAGAAAACAGACATTTGTCTCTGACCAGTAGAGCTAAAAATAGTGCAAAGCTATTTTTTCTTTGGTTAAAAAAAAACCTCCTTTAAATAATCTTTACAGTTGAAAACCTTTTAATAAAATTACTTTCTTGAAGTCTCTTCACAAAATGAAAAAAAATTGTCAATAATTTCTCAAATTAACTACAAAATACATGTACACAAGAGATTGTATTACAATTCTGACAACAAAACTTTCCGACATGAAAATTGCAGTATACACATTGCTATAAGGTAAGGAATTTTTTAATATCATATTTTTGAAAAAGTGGAAGAAAAAAAGAAGTTAAGCCCTCTCCAAGAATGCAAATGTGAGCAAAATAGAAATAATTAAAATTTGTTAAACAGCTGAACTTCGATATCTCGAACACTGATATCTCGAATACCATGGATAAGTCAAAGTGATTTGGAAGTTCCAACCACTTATTCTTTAAGTATTTTACCCCGGATATCTCGAATCCTCGGATATTTCGAAGTTTTTTCTAGGTCCCATTGAGTTCGAGATAACGAAGTTTGACTGTATATGTATTCCGTGGAAATTGTTTTAAGAAACATGTACACTTCTTTTTTACCTTTCTTCCAGCTCTTTGTGTATCATCTGGTGAATACCCTGAATTTTCTCGTCGCAGAGCTCGTAGAAATTCACTTTTCTTGTCCCCGAGATTCCTGGGCTGCGTGACAAGGCGGGTATTCAGAATCTCCATGGGAGGAGTTGGAGACTGCTGTGATCCCTACAGATTCCAAAAATACATCAAAATATCGTGGAATCTCATCAGAAGAATAACATTAAAAACCATCTACGTCCGTCGATATCATAATTTTATCATACAAAATATTCAGTTTGATGCATCTCTACATCTGCCATGTTGACAACCCAGGATATGTTGATACCCTTCTGCAGTACAGGCAGTATCTTTTAATATGATTAACTAAAATCTTGAATCTGTCAACCTTGGTAATCTCCATTAATAAACTCACTGGAGCATTAAGTAAGAGATTTTGCAGAAGTTATGAAAAAAAGAGAAAATCTCTAATGTAAGACATTACTAAATTATTTTTTTGGAAATTTCTTTCTCAAAGACTTCTTTCTTAAAAGGGTTTATAATGGAAAAGATTAATTTGTTATAATGAATAATACTATTCTTAATACCTCTTTACTCGGGTTCATTCCAGGAGGGGTGAGTGGTTTGCTGCTACTTGGAAATCCCCCATTAAAGCGGACATTCTCCTTTGGTTTTCTATTCACAGAACCCTGGAGCTATCAACATTATTAAATTAATAGTTTTATGTTTTTTTTTTTTAATCTAAGCACCTTTTCCAAAACAATATTACTAACTCGATGACATACTTGTCTGAGAACTTAAGTCATTTAAGATACTTTTGAGCACATAAGTTGCTCCAACCAACAAGAGGTCCATGGGCCACATCTCTCACCTGAGCACATTGGCTAACAAAAAGCAGATATCAGTTCCAATTAGAAAAATTTACAAGGGGGGGACTTGAATTTAAACTACCTGAGGATGCTTCCATATCAATATAACTAATCATGGCTTTGTTGTTCCCGAGAAGATTTTTTCCTATATATTCCTACATAAAACGTTGATCCCCCATTATGGCCCACCCTATCTCCTTGGGTCATCATTTTAACAAACTTCAATCTGCACTACCTAAGGATGCTTCCATATCAATATCACTAATCATGGCTTTGCTGTTCTTATAGGGCTGAAACGATACGCCCCCTCCACGATACGGTATGTATCGCGATACCTGTGTCACAATTCAATTTTTTCAATACGATACATTTTAAAAAAGAAACAAATCATAAGGTTAAAGAAAACATGTATTCAGATTTCAAAAGGCAAGTAAAAGGTGGTAATACAATAAAGAGCACTACTTGTTTGCTTCTGTAGATTAAAAGAGCACTTTGTTTTTGTCAATACTAGCAGTGGCAGCCTGCTCTGAAACTTTCTCCTTTGCAACATTCCCTTGTGTGTGTCAAACTATTAAAATGAGGTCGAGCCCCATCTATTTCAAGGAGTAACCAAACCCGATTATAAAAAAAAATGTATACAGAACCGAAAATCGAGATAGGGAATCGAACATTGAACCGAGCAGTAATATTGAACAATATTGATATTTCGGTGAATCGTTTCAGCCCTATGTTCTTGAGCAGATTTTTAAATATTTTTTCCTATATATTCCTATGTAAAATTTTGATCCTCCATTGTGGCCCCACCCTACCCCCAGGGATCATGATTTGAAAAAAATTGAATTTACAATAATTTCTAAGGATATTTACATATTAATATGACTAATAATGGCTTTGCTGTTCTTGAGAAGAAGATTCTTAAAAAAAATTTCCTAAATATTCCAATTTTAAACTTTGATCCCCCATTGTGGTCCCACCCTACCCCTTGGGGTCATGACTTAAACAAATTTCAATCTACACTATGTTAAAAAAGTTTTCTAAAAAAAAAACTTCTTTGGTCTAGTGGTTCTTGAGCAGATTTTAAAAGGTACAACCAAATTTTCCTTATTTCTGAATTATCTCCCCTTGTAATAGGACGTGGCCCTTCATTTGGACAAACTTGCGCCCGAGGTCGATATTCTCCATGTATCTGTGGTCAATATTTGAGTCCCATTCACCCAAGGATGCTTTGTAGCAAGTTTGGTTGAAAATGGTCCAGTGGTTCTAGAGACAAAGTCAAAAATGTGAAAAGTTTACAGACGGCGGACGGACAGATGGACTACAGACAAAATGTGATCAGAAAAGTTCACTTGAGCTTTCAGCTCAGGTGATATAAAAAGGCAAACAAAGCAACCTGATTCTTTAAAACTAGGTAGTGAGTGGTCATAAGATAGTGAGAGGTCATTAGATAGTGTGAGGTCATAAGATAGCCATCTTACCTTATTTGGCACTAATGATTTATAAATGTTAGATGATGGTCCACGCTCTCCAAATTTAGAAGCACTGTTTTTCCCATGCGGAGGATGTTCTATAAATAGATATTCAAAAATCCCATAAAAAATCCCCATCCTACAATGGGTCAAAAAATAAATTACTCCAATGCACAGTTACAGACAGGTTTACAGATAATTTCAGAAAATTGACCTTTGAGAAGCTGTTTGATTTACTGATATTTTAGTCATTAAAAAAAACCTGAATGATCTTAATATATGGATTTAAAATGGTAATTCCCTTTACCCCATACACTTCCACCATTTGACGTTTTGCTGGTTTTCTCACTATTTTCATCCCCATTAAGTGAGGGCTAAAATGACAAAAAGCAACAGATTAATAATTAAGACACACCACATCCCTACCATGTAACATTCACAGCTTTATGATTGAGATTGTTACATTATTAATATCATGCTAAATTAATTTATACAGCAGACTAATAATCATACAAAATCTTCCTGAAATGTGGGTTTTTCTCCGTCATCATCTTCCTTCATCTTTGACCTCTCACTGTTATCTTTTTCCTTTCCCTCCTTAGAATTTGACCTTCCTTCTTTTTCATAATGATTTTTCTTGGAGTTTCTGTTGCTGGGATAACTACTAAAGAATGGCTGTTCTCCATAGTAATCAAATGGACCAGCATAGAGATCATAGTATCCTGGATAGGCACCATTCATCTAAACAAAATTTATCTTTAAATTTAAATAATGTTAAACTATTTAAATGGATAAATTCTATAACCAGCATAACAGGATTGTTCCTACATACTGTAATTTCAATGTGCTTTTGACAATGTGTTATTTGTTGCCTTCTTTCTCATATACATTGTTAATTTAAAATGCATGATTGCGGTAAAGCATATACATGTCATGTATCTTGGTTCACTAGTTCCTGAAAATCTTTTTTAACACAATTTCATTTACAAGGATTGGAGGATTACACTGAATTCAAATCATGAGCAGTCCAAGTTTTTTACCTGATTATATCGCATGTTGGGGTGCTGGGGATATTTGGCGTCCCGGTTTGGGGGTGACCTGAATATGGATGGATTGGAATTGTAGTGCATGTTATAGCCATTGTAATACCCATAATGGCCATAGGGAGGGTAGGGGTAGTATTCGTCATCTACAGAGTGGTGTCTAGGGGGGCCGCGTCTTTTACCTGAAAATGACATACCTTACTAAAATTTCATTGCATGAAAAAGTGAACTATGTTTTATCCTGAATTTCACTTTTAACATGTCTAAATGTGCAATATACTCATCGCTTAAACATGTTAAATAAAAATACAATTTAATGCTTTAAAATAACATGATTTGAAATGCAATTTTTTAAAACCTTTTTTGCTATCTGAAAGAGCATTAAAACTTTAAAAGGTGTAACAATTTGTTAAAGAAAATAACCCAGATCATTCATCATTACAGGAAACCAGAAGTAATATTTTAATAAACATAAAATGTCCAATGTGGTCAACTCGTATCCTATTGTTGTAACAGGAGTATTACCGACTAGTTTCTACTATAACATGATCTTGGTATTTTCTCTAATATAAAAGTTACATCTTTCACTAAACATAGCAATACAACTAAAACATTACCATCATAGTAGTTTTCAAATGAGTTTTGTCGATGAAGTTCTGCGTAGTTGGGATGTCTATTGTAATAATTTGGACGTAGTCTTGCAGATTTATCACTCTCAATTGTTTTAGACCCCGCTGGCTTCTGAGAAGAAAAGAAGTAAAACAAGATTACTATTTATAAAAGGAAAAACACACATCGTACTTACATTTAATATCAAAAGAAAAAGAAGTTTTGTCTTACTTTTTCCCCATTTGCTGTTATAAAATCATCTTACTTATTACTCAAACGTTCCATGGATATATCCTTCTATTTAAAAAATAAAATGCTTTCATTGGTTGTTAGTAAGGGAATTAATCTTGCAGATGTTGCAGATATATTAAGTACATTATTGTACATGTATTACTGAAATGTATGTCACTGTATGTTTCTTTGATGGAAGAGCAACTGCTCCAAAAATCTATACAGGTGGCTTGCTTAGCAGGGTTAAAGTATTGATAAACGACAGTGATTTTCATAAGAAATAAAGGAGATAATATTCAGTTAATGTAAATATAGCTAATTAAGTAAAAATTACAAAGGATATTAAAACTAGAACCATAAGTACTTCTGAAGTCAGATGTATTCTCATTTTATTTCTTCTGTAAAATATGATAATCAAAAACCAACTTGGTTACATATTGCAAGAATTTTTCATGCCATAGTTTCTTTAACTCTTGGATAATGTAGTGCATGTGACCCCCCCCCCTTTTTTAAATGATGTAATAATAGTAATGTTAGGTTACATGGTGTAACTTTTTATTTTATCCACAACAGTGTTTAATCATTCTGAGTCAATGACTGTAATATTTTACTATATATGTGTGAGCTTGGAGCGGGTTGATTTTTCTATCAAATAGGGTCAATGTCTGTAATATGTTATCATGCATTGTGGTGATTTGGAGTGGGTTGATGAAGTTTGTTTATTCACAGTTTTATTTTGTTTTATATGAATGTGCTATTCGCAGAGTTGTACCTAAGTCACTTAATTGTAAATGTATATACTTGTGAAACAAGGGTAGATTGATATATTTTTATAACATAAACATGACTGAGATAATTCGAACTGAGTTAGAGTTTGGTAAAAGATTAATAAAGTATGTCATTTGTAAATCAGCACTTAAGTATACATCCTAAGACTGTAACTGTGTGAAACAGTACGTAATTGTTGTTTGGTTAGTGTTATTTAGTTGATATAATACCTGTGAAATAGTCTAAACTTCTGTTGTCACATTGTTTGACAGTTTCGCTCTTCATTACGATGTACTTCCGGTTTAGAAACTTGTTAAAGTAATTGATAAATTTATCCTTGCATTTGTAATATAACCGATATATATATCAAGTTTGAATGGCGGTATCTTATGAATGACTGTATTTTGAGATAAACTGAATATTGTTTTAAGTTTAATTTGTTTTGTTTTAATTATTTATTGTGAAATATATTTTTATTTCATTGATAAATATGTAAAAATTCATTATTTCATACTTGTATAGATTATTTGGCGACACTTGTTCACGTGAAAGATTGTGATGTTTTACAATTGACCAATCAGATTGTTTGATATCGCCATTTTCACAGTATTTGTGCTAATTGTGTTGCACTTGGAGCAAAAAATAAAAAGTCAAACAGCACATTATTGACATGTTTTCTAGAAAGTACAATACCTATGCAAATGAATCCCAAATTTTTTTTATATAAGCATTCTTACAAAAAAAGTTATGCGAAGTCAAATTTTGGGCAAGACCTTGTGTTGCGGACACTACATTACACCTGTTATGTCTAAAATAAAATATTAAAGATATTTATTTATTCCAAACTTCTTGCGGGTTTCGATTATGTACCTAATTGCAGTGAAATAAAAGAAAAATCTCATGGTTCTCTTTGAAAACAAAAATTTTATTCACATTAATGACTTGCTAATTTTTTTTGCCTAATTTATCTCCCTTCCTTAAGTTTATCTACCTTTACAATCACACATAAGACCTATATAATTATCATGTGAAAATTAAATTGAATACTTCTATATTTCAAATACATTTGTCATAACACCCTGGATATCTTCGTTTGTATCTTGTCTACCTTTGAAATGCATGGCATTTTTGTTGCGGACACTACAAGTAACCATAAGAATAATCTTTTGTCATTTTTATAAAAATAATTGTTGATAAATGTTCATTTCTAGGCTGAATTATATACCACAGGATCAACTCTTGAAAATGTACCATATAAAAAGATGCAGAATGTGGTTTATTGAGATGAAAATAACCACATAACAAGGAGCATTAATTATTTCTTGATGACGTATAATTGTTTTGCAGTTTTAAAAAATGTCTATGATTCTACTTATTTTAATACAATTAAAGAAGTTATAACAAATAGTTTTATAGATAAATTCAATGAATTAAAGAATTTACTGATGCATCCATAATTCTTTTTTCAGTATTGAAATTGTTGCGGACACTACAATATATTGAAATATTGCTATATGACACCATATTTGGTTTTAATGGAGTAAACTGAAAATCTTAATCTCTAACTAGTTCTATATGTACAGTAAATGGTGTTATATTATAGGGAAATAAAGAAGGCTAGTCAGAAATGGCTATCCTGCCTGGAAATTAAAACCCATATATATACCAGTAAGTTTGAAGTGTTATCTTGTACAAAAATCACCATTTGTTATCTTACTCCAGTTAACTAATTGTATTATCAAAGGAGCAAAATATCAGAGAAGTGTTTTACATTTCAAAAATATTTAATGAAATAAAAAGTGAAAATAATAAATAAAAGTGGTATATAGTTATTACTGTAGTGTCCGCAACACAACTGTATTAATTAGAACTAGACTTATTAATTAACAATTAACATCTTGATATATTCTTTAGTTTCCACTTATTCAGTTTTAAATACCACATGAAAATTAACTTTCAATATATAACATAAGACTGACAATTGAAAGATTTTGAATATTATGTATAAACAAGTCGTTATGGGTGTTATTCAAAGTATGAAGTTATAGTTCCACTAAGTTTTGTAACCTGACATATTTGTATTGAATATTTGGACAATTATAGTGATGATCAATTGAAATCATGTTACATTTCTTTGAAGAAACTGTGAATTTAAAAAGCTGTTGCGGACTCTACAGCGTTGCAGACTCTACAAAACACAATATATTTGCCAGAATTCCAAGCAACACTGAGCTAAAGTCTGATATTTTTTGGTAGATAGATTAGTAGCTGTACTGGCCTCTTACATGTAAAATAAAAGAATTATAATTCAAATTGCATTCCAGAATAAGCACATGTTGCGGACACTACAGAATTTTGGGACATTTTTATGCCAGTAAGAAGAAAATGTGTCATTTTCTAAAGTTTCGAAGAATCCACTCAAACTTTTCTTTATTGTTTCATTTATCATTTAACTCTAATTTTAAAATGAACCTAAAGTAAGAGTAATGCATTAACATATATTTTTTTTAAACTGCAAGTTCAAACAGTAGAATTTTATTAAATTTCATAACGTATCTGCATTTTCACATATTTAAACATTATTTCGCTAATATTTTGTTGATTTACATACAGTAAATCGCATATAAAAGAGGGATAATTTCACAATGATTTGACATCTATAACTAAGAGTTTCTATTGTAAATCTCCTGAAACAAAAACTGGAAAACAAAGCCATTTTTCAGCTGCAACAGCATAACGCAAAATATACCCCTTATTTTAGGTAGTAAATCTTCAATATTTTTATTGTCTGGAACATGGGAGTGTTATATATCATTTAACTTGTTAGGGGTACCATTTTGTCATAATTTGGTCATAATTGTTAAGGGTTTAATCATATATTTTGATGCAGAGTGCATTATAACATAAGTGAGTATGAAAAAACACAAATACTGTGAAAATGGCGTATAATTGATCATTAATTGATAATCCAATGAAATTTCATAATTATTAATTCCCTTAATATCTGTCATTTTCCAGCATTTTCCGTTACTTTCTGTCATAGTCATATAAAAGTTACACGCTGAGATTTTTTTAGTCACTCTTCTGCTTATTTTGATTTGGTAGGTCCGTTTTACGGAACTCTCAGATTTTTTTTAGGATTTTATTTTAATTTTTATTTTGAATATCTTTTATTTTATTTATTTATTTATTTTTATTTAGGAATTTATTTTTAATTTATTTATTTAGGATAGGGTTTTACCGTGTAGGACACAAAATAGTAAAATACTATTGTCCGCTATCGGTTGTTTTAAAGACTCAACAGTCTATGACTGAGTAGTCTTCTTTAGTAATTAATTTATCTAGGATTATTTTATTTTACATTTTTACTCCATTTTATTTCATTTTTATTTTAATGCAAACTACGTAACTAAAGTTATACTTTTGCTATCTTTCTCTTTTATGATGACTAAAGTTGATTAGTTCAACGAAAGTCAATTATTCATTTTATTTTCATACAGTAATTTAATTATTCTAGATATATAAATTTTTCTTCAATTATTTTTAATAGAAATTATTTTATTAGAGTACTTGGGAATTTTTAAACGTTGCTTCTCGATAAACTTTCTTATGATTATTAGAGTTATCTTTCTTTGCCCTTAGTGTTTACAAGCTAACCTGTTATATATAACCACGGCTTGTGTCCTTATTTAATAAAGTATTTTAGGAGTTTAACAAGCTAACCTGTTAAATACAGTAAAGCTTGGTGTTAAGTTTTACAAGTCAAAGTTATAAATAACTACGACTTGTTGTCACATATTTTTATACGCATAGGAATAGATACGTTAGATTTTTGGGGTGGTTTTTCAGTCTGTTTTATGGTATGATTTTAATTATTTATTTTAATTAAACATTTATTATTATAGTTTGGTATGAATGTGGTGTGAATGTCGTCGTTTAAATAAATTATTTGTTGATAATGCACTTAATAAATTTAATTGTTTAATGTTTATCATCTTATGTCTTCTTTTCGAATGGTACATTTATAAAAGGAGTTGAGCGAATTATTAATTCTATGAAAACAATTTCTAGCAGAACCGCTAGCGTTACAGATAACATACATTTTTTTTTAAGATTTAGTCTCATCTGTCTCCATCCATGAGAACAAAACACATTTTTTCTGTCATATAAGCCTTTGTTACATGTTAACAAGCTTACAAAAAAATACAAGTTACAAATATACAACTTCGCAAACTAGTTGTGATTACAAAATACAGACAAATAACTTTGATTCACAAATTTACTTTTGTAGAAAAGATTTTATTTTGATTTTCCGTTTAATTTTTTAATTAAAAGAAATTAGAAATTGGTGCATTTAATTTTTTTGTAATTCCATGGAAAGTAGGATCGGCATATCTGTAATCCTAGAGATTAAAAAAATTGACCTGAATGCAATCATGGTTTTGTTTTCAACAGCACTATTTTAATCTAAATTAATATGGATTTGATATTCTTATTATTTTATTAAGATGTTGTTAATATCACTATAACAACTATACAGTGGTGCAGTCACTTTTCAATTGCACACCAGTAACTGATATAGATTATAAATATAAGGCCACAGGTATTGTCCATCGCTATGAATTACTCAAAGCATTTGAACATACACTGTGTGATATCTTCCTCCTTTTTAATAATATTTTTTATTTATTCTGGCCTTACTTATACCAATAATACTAACAGGATTCTCCTGTGATGGAATCTTGAGCCAGGCTGGTGCAAAGTCGTGCTTTGGAGCGTTATGTGCTGCCATCACATCATCATGATGAATGGTCTGTGAAAATATAAATGCATATACTTAATGTTTACAATATTAAATAACAGATGAAATTTTATTTTCATTACAACTTGAAGCCATTTAGTTATTAACCAGATCATCAGAAACATCATTTTTTATTAATAAAGCTTTTAATTATTAAGGTATGTCACTCTTCACCTTTTGAGAAAAGTTTGGTCAGAACCCCTAACTTCAAAATTATTTATTACAATTCAATTTTTATTACATATCTGAATTAAACAATGCCTCAAATAATATTCAATTTTAAAAACTGCTCAGAAAATTGTAAAGAAACAAGATTTATGGGGGACTATTTCTTTAGGTTGGAAGAGATTTAGAAGAAAATTCTTCAAATCTCAACATTTTCTTTGATTTAATATCTTGGAACTTCAGCCCTACGTATCTTTACTCAGAGAATTTTTTCTTTATTATATGCTAGGAATTTTAAATATAGGGTTCAATTAATATTTTAAAAACAAATTTTAAACATTCACTCGACAAACTTAACCAAAAAATGAAGATATATTTAAAAGAAGTCAAAATAAAATTTTTAGTTTTTCTACCTGAAAATCGCATATTTTGACTACATCAAATTTTACATCACTGGCTCCAACTTTTTCTTTCATTATTTTGAATTATACAATGCTTGAGAGAAGAAAATATTTTATTGCCTATTTAGATTTTTAATACATGTACCCCAAATATGACATTTTTTATAAGTGCAAAAAGGTCACACAATAATTTATGTGCATTTATTTGCAGGATTTTTTTCAAAAGTAAATATTATTCAAACCATTTTACATAAAATAAAATTATATTTATTGCCATGATTATATTTGGCTAAATATGATAAAGGTTTAAGTGATTAACCTTTAAGTTACAATTTAACTTATTTAAGTACAAAACAGTCAAGTTATTTGTACCTTTGCTCAGTAAGATGAACACTGACCCCCAATTTTCTTTGCAATATTCAGTCATGCTATATGAGTAGTAATCTTAAAAATCTTCTCAAAAAATCCTTGTTAGAACTCGTATCAGGAGTGACATACCTTAAGACATTTTAAATACCTTGTAAAATATCAAAAAATGTAACCTTATAAAATGGAACACAATGAATTACCTTTGATGTAAACTGAGTCCACAATAATCGGCAAACCCTCTCTTTATTCTACGATGCACTTCCAAATATTTCATGAAAGTTCCAACCTTTAAGGCACTTGCACAATGTGATCAGTTTTGTAAACAACACACGCACTCGGGGATTTCAACACTCACCAATCAATAAACTTCAAATGTTATCAACCATACCACGCAAAGACAAATGCCGTGGCACTTATCCTAAGAGGATAATCCTCGCTCACTTATTTTGCCACAGTCATGTACTCATAATTATATTTATATTTGCAAAATAAAAAAAAATCAAAAACAAAACAGTCCAAAACTGGTGAAATATGTACTAGCTGGTCATTATTTCTTACATATTTTCCCCGATTACTTTTGGCTAAAAATTGTTGATCCTTGAGATGGGTTCGGACAAATGTAAAACCATATCAAAAATTATAGATCGGTACAACGGCCATACTATCGTCAGCTGGTCGTGTTCACTGATCGGGCTTGAGGTTGTCTTCTCTTGAAATAGTTGACGTACTATGTCTTCGACACAGAAATCGTTCCTAAAAGACAAAATGTATTTTCTTGTACATCACACACTTGCTTATAAACTCTTACATAGAATATAAATACTTGACACATACAACTGAAGCATTTTCCCGCCGTGTGAAAAATAATCTGTCACAATTCAAATGCACATGGATAAAAAGTGTTTACTTGAACTTTGTTTCTATCTTTTCGTTAAGAAATAATTCACAAACACGTACTTCGACTGTAAATTCTCAAATTATGTTTCCTGCAGCATTTGTTGATTACACTGTCAATCTCCTTATATAACACACGTAGAAAGTATATGCAGATTTTTTCGCACTCTCACTACACTTTCAACAGAAAACAAATATGGCGACTAAAATTTCCCACAATACAACGCGAGAAATTTGCCGAACCTATTTAGGCTTGTCATTAAACATTTTTGAAAAATATGATATTACATATACCTTAAATTTATTGCGTACGATATTAGTTTCATTAAAATTAAAAATCAAAAATATGAATATAATTATTGCACGGTGTCTGTACGCTTAATACCTAGACTAATTGGTACCTGAGATATTTAGATCCATTTAGAATTGGAAAATCGTGGTGAAGAAGGAAAAAAGGACAAGATGATAATTCTAAAGAATGGATGCAAAACTATTGCTTTCAACCTTCAGTTTTGGTGAAAATCCTTTTGAATTTGGGAAAAATATGTGTCAATCTTTCACTGTTCAAGCATGTCCGGGAGTGATCAAATTTATTGCAGCTATTGAAAATTTCCCTCATATAATGTGGAAAGGGGTTCAAGAAATATCAGTGAAGAGAATAAGCCCCTAAAGTTTTTATTGTTGTTTGTTTATTTTTAATGAAAAATCAGTCCAGGTTTTCTTTAAAATAATTTATATAATATTACAAGGGGCATTGGAAGTTAATGTAAATTATGTGCATGTATAAAAACTGGAATAAATTAGACCCAAACAAGAGCAAAATAAAAATCCCGAGATGCAAAGACCAGCCATGAAGATAATATACCATATTCTGACCAAGCAGCACCTTGATATTTCGATGTATCGGGTTGAGACTGAAAGAAGAAAAATCGTGGAGACCTTAAACAATTTAAAATTAGGATGTAATTTCACTCGAAAACATAATTTATGCAAAAACTAAAATGATTTAAAATTGGAATAGATTATACCCCAACAAAGCCAAAATAATAATCCTGAGATGCAAAGATCATTATAGTTCTTGTTGCTGAATATAATAGTCTGTTCAATCTCTCTCTCTTGTAATTATTGATTTAAACTTAATGTTTTAAACAAATAATTTTGCCAAACTTAAATGTAAAACACTGTTGGATTATGAAAAGAACTAAGGCGGCTATAAGAGCTTATATATAGATGGAATCTTCCATTTATATATGATGTGTCTGTATTGTTTTCTTTAATATTCTTTCAGTATTCATGTTAACAGGTTAACAATACTAGCAATTAATAAAACTGCATGCGTATGCATGATTGTATTTGAATGATATTCAGTATAAAGAAATTTTGAACACCTTTGATTTTCAAGTGTTACCAAACAAAATCTATTTCGTGATGTTTAAAATCTTATTATTTAAAAGAATAAGTCATATTTTCAACATTTTACACTAATAAAGCACATTTAACACCCAAATTCAGTTAAGTTGTACATGTAACAAACAATTATAAAACAATGCTTTTCTTAAAGTTCTTGATATCACTGCAAAGTATAAAGAATAAACGTATAAAAACTTGCATGAAAAAATTCATCATGAATTTTATAATATTATATGCTATTTTGAAGCATAAAAGCAGGCCCAGTTTCAAAAGTAGGGACCCCCCCCCCCCCCAAAAAAAAATGGGGGGGGGGGGCTGTAAAAAAAAACTCGTGTCTCACAAACTGACGGAATGCACAGAAAATTGCATCTTTGTTGGTCAAATATATTCTAAGCCAATATATTTCATAAATTCAAATCGCAGAAGTAAAATATGAAAGTACTGTATATATCAAAAAGCAGTTTCCAGATTAGTTCTAATTAAATGAAAAATTACTATACCTCAAACGTACATGTACAGTGAATTACGTTACGAAATTCTGCCATGAAACTCTTTAATCTTTCAAGCTTCCCATGTTTAAATTATATAATTCTTTGTTTAAAATATATTGTTTTGTAAGAAAATTATGTATTTTCTGTCTAAATGAAAAATATCAGTATAGTACAGTCTATAGAATTCAAAGTTTCCGTTTTCTTTTTTGTGAACTATAGTTATCATATCTGTCTATCTTCAGCATAAGACTTATCTAGAATTTAAATCATTCATTTGAAACTATCAATGATATGATGCCATCAGTTTTATTTATCAAAAGTATGATGGCATACATCTGCATGCCCCCTACATGCAAAATAAATTGTTAACATGCAGAGAAAAGTATGTCAACATGTAAGATACATGCATACAAAATAATTATGTTGACAACGTATACATGTTTTTAAGGATGAAGTCTTGAAAAGGAGAATTTTTTTTTAAATGCAACAGTACCACACTTAACTGATAGGCAAGCATCCTGTGTGGAGTAGATTTTTTTCTCAAATCAGGGGTATTTTTGAAAAAATAATAATATATAGAACAAGAGGCCCAGGGGTCACATCGCTCACCTGAGCACTGTGGCTAGGGAAAGAGAGAAAATCAGGTTAGTATTGAAAAGCTTAAATGCATAAGTGGTCCCAACCTACCCCTAAAAGGGAGGGGGTATGATTTTAACAAAATTAAATCTTCACTAACTAAGGATGCTTACATAATTTTTTGACTGTGACTTTTTTCTCTACAAGATTGAACTTTCATTGTGGCCCCACCCTACCCCTGGAGGTCATGATTTGAACAAACTTGAATCTACACTGTCTGAGGATGCTTCCATATAAATATGACAAACCGTGGCTTTGCTAATCTTGAGAAGATTTTTAAAGATTTTTCCAATATATCGTATAACGGGTATTTTCTGCGGTTGGAAATTTTTGCGATTTAACCCCTAAAAGATAGCAAATTAATTTCTGCGTTTTCAATTTCTGCGGTTGCATTATACCGCAAAAAAAATATATACTGGGTATGATCACCAAACTAAGAATTATCAGATAGCTGCCATGTTTACGTTTTATAAATTCATTGAGACATATTGATCAAAGGTGCATGAGAACTGGTATAAGCTATTTAGCTTAATTAAACTACTGTCTTTTAGTTAGTCTTTGTACAATTATGTCGAGTCCCAATTGAAATGAATTATTACAGTATCAGTCCACCCAAACAACAATAAAAATCTTTATTCTACATTGTAACAAACGTTTTATTCGATCTTTTAAAATATTTAAATATATAGATAATTAATGCATCCAAGCCATATTCTAAAAATACACTTATAGTTAATTGCCATCAAAATTAACCTGGTGTTTATATTTTAAGGACATACGCAACGTACCTTACCTACTGATAATTTTTCAAGATATTCTTAATTTAAATTTATAGTGCCATCAGATGTTCATAGACAAAAAATCAGCGTGCATTACCAGGGGTTTTGAAAATATATCAATTGATGAAAATTCTAGTATAATTCAAAGAAAAATACACAAAAATTACTAAACATATATTCTAGATGTTTTGTTTATCCAAACGTGTTTTAGAAGAAGTGTATAACAGCATTTATAGACATAAAGAAGTAACACATAATTCCTTTAAGAATTGGAACTCTTCAACTCCAGGGAAAAAGACAATAAAGTTTAAACAACGTTGCGTATGTCCTTAAGCTCAAACAAACAGTTGCACAATCGTATACAATCACAGGTGCCATGAGCAATGAGGCGTAACTAATCCTGTCAGTCGCGGATCGTCTGCATTGAGTGAAATTCACGAGACAATCAAGCCACATTGTGTATACAAGCAGTAATTATGGTTTCAAGATAAAACACAAGATTGAAAACAAGAGGCCACATCGCTCACCTGAGCACACTGGCTAGGAAAAAAAGCAGAAATCAGTTCAGTATATGAAAAGTTAACGTGGGAGAGAGGGGGGGGGGGGATGGGGGGTTTTAAACTACCTGACAATGCTTTCATATCAATATAACAAATAACTTTGCTGTTCTTGAGCAGAAGATTTTTTCCCATATATTCATTTGTAAAAATTTGACCCCCCATTGTGGCCCCACCCTACCCCCGGGGGCACTCATTTGAACAAATTTCATTTTATACTACCCAAGGATGCTTCCATATCAATTTGACTAATCATAGCTTTTCTGTTCTTTAGAGAAAGATTTTTTCCTATATATTTCTCTGTAAACTTTGATCACCCATTGTGGCGCCATCCTACTTCCAGGGGTCATGATTTGAACAAACTTGAATCTACACTACCTGAGGATGCTTCCATATAAATATGACCAATCATGGCTTTGCTGTTCTTAAGAAGAAGATTTTTAAAGATATTTTCTATATACTCTTATGAAAAACTTTGACCCCCCATTGTGGCCCCACCCTACCCCCAGGGGTCATGATTTGAACAAACTTGAATCTACACTACCTGAGGATGCTTCCATATAAATATGACCAATCATGGCTTTGCTGTTCTTAAGAAGAAGATTTTTAAAGATATTTTCCTATATATTTCTATGTAAAACTTTGATCCCCCATTGTGGCGCCATCCTACTTCCAGGGGTCATGATTTGAACAAACTTGAATCTATACTACCTGAGGATGCTTTCATATAAATATGACCAATCATGGCTTTGCTGTTCTTAAGAAGAAGATTTTTAAAGATATTTTCCTATATATTTCTATGTAAAACTTTGATCCCCCATTGTGGCATCACCCTACCCCGGGGGTCATGATTTGAACAAACTTGAATCTATACTACCTGAGGATGCTTTCATATAAATATGACCAATCATGGCTTTGCTGTTCTTAAGAAGATTTTTAAAAGTTTTTCCTATATATTTCTATGTAAAACTTTGATCCCCCATTGTGGCCTCACCCTACCCCTGGGGGTCATGATTTGAACAAACTTGAATGTACACTACCTGAGGATGCTTCCATATAAATATGACCAATCATGGCTTTGCTGTTCTTAAGAAGAAGATTTTTAAAGATATTTTCCTATATATTTCTATGTAAAACTTTGATCCCCCATTGTGGCCTCACTCTACCCCCAGGGGTCATGATTTGAACAAACTTGAATCTACACTACCTGAGGATGCTACCATATAAATATGACCAATCATGGCTTTGCTGTTCTTGAGAAGAAAATTTTTAAAGATATTTTCTTATATATTTCTATGTAAAACTTTGATCCCCCATTGTGGCCCCACCCTACCCCTGGGGGTCATGATTTGAACAAACTTGAATCTACACTACCTGAGGATGCTTCCATATAAATATGACCAATCATGGCTTTGCTGTTCTTAAGAAGAAGATTTTTAAAGATATTTTCCTATATCTTTTTATGTAAAACTTTGATCCCCCATTGTGGCCTCACCCTACCCCCGGGGGTCATGATTTGAACAAACTTGAATCTACACTACCTGAGGATGCTTCCATATAAATATGACCAATCATGGCTTTGCTGTTCTTGAGAAGAAAATTTTTAAAGATATTTTCCTATATATTTCTATGTAAAACTTTGATCCCCCATTGTGGCCCCACCCTACCCCCGGGGGTCATGATTTGAACAAACTTGAATCTATACTACCTGAGGATGTTTCCACATAAGTTTCATCTTTCCTGGCCCAGTGGTTCTTGAGAAGAAGATTTTTAAATGATGTCATTATTTTTTCACTAATTCCTAATTATCTCCCCTTGAAAGAGGGTGTGGCCCTTCATTTGAACAAACTTGAATCCCCTTCACCCAAGGATACTTTGTGGCAAGTTTGGTTGAATTTGGCCCAGTGGTTCTTGAGAAGAAGATGAAAATGTGAAAAGTTTACAACAACAACAACGCCAACGACAACAACGACGACAGACAACGGACAAATTTTGATCAGAAAAGCTCACTTGAGCCTTTGGCTCAGGTGAGTTAAAAAGTCTATGAAATGTTTTCAAGAATGGCAGAACCACATTAAATCAAATATCAAGTATCCCTGTGAAGTGTAGATTATTTTTTCCCCATCAAATTATGGTTCTTTGGGGCTAGGAAGAGTCAGCTGCAATGATATGAGTGTCCTAGTTTATATAGAAAAAGTGTCAAAGAGCACATGGCGGTGTGACCGGTCGGCAGGGGATGCTCACTCCTCCATTGGCACCTAATCCCACCTCTGATTTTTTAGAGGTCCATTTTTGCTCTGCCCCAAATTTTTGTTGTTTGATGGACTTTTGAGCTTGAATACTATTCACTATCTCCATATATTTCATATGCAAGAATACTCTTTTCAGAAAAACAAGATTAAAATTTGCATTAATCATTAATAAACAGCTTTAGATCTTTCCATGGTTGCATCAAGAAGGAGCATTCAGGTCATCAACAGACCTTTTTATCCAGTGACAGTCTTTGTTTTTGTTTTGTTTTGTTGTTTTGGTTACAAAATTATATGATTCAGTTCCACACTTGTCCTCCACATCAACTTGACTTACTCCAAATGTGTGGAAATAAGATCCTTGGTTAATGTTTACATTCAGATTCCATTGCTTCATCTCTAAATATAAATATCTGACATATCATGTTGATCGAACTATAAATTAAAAAAACACCCAATGGCACTTCTTGAATTCACTTTATATTCTCGTGGAGATTTCAATAATTACACAGAATATCTAATTGTTCAATGTTCCATCTTTGTATGGCACCATATATTATAGCAACTACCTTTTAAAATCAAACAACAGTGTTAGACTGGGATTTTCCATGGTTAAAAAGGTCAATAACAGACAAAATCACTATCATACTTTGGGCAGTTAGAAATACATTAAGACTTGAATCATCTTTGTTGTAATTAGATTACTGAGATTTCATCTTGTAATTGGACAGCATGTATTAGGTATGAAATCAAAAACAGGAACTGGTTTACTCACACAGTAAAAGAATACCTTTACACAGACTTATTTGTATTAAGAAAGGTTAACATGACAGGAATGCCCTATTTACAGCAACATTTAACAGTTCCAAGATATAAGGCTTTTAATCCATTCAAAGATAAACTAAGGACAATATCATTAAAATTTACATCTTTCTTCAACTACATCATTTTCATATCACACCACCAAAAGCAACTATAAAATATTGTAAAATAGAGGTAAAGTACATAAGTCACAACGCTCACCTGAATCACTACGCCCCTGTTTTTCTTCAGCAGCACTTTCCCCAAATTCCTTTGTAAAACTCTGATCACATATTGTGGCCCCACCCTACCTCAGGGGTCATGATTTGAGCAAATTTGAATCTATACTATGCAATGAAGTTTTACCTTTTCTGGCCCAGTGGTTCTTGAGAAGAAGATTTTTAAAAGATACCATTAATTTTTCACAAATTCTTGATACCCATAATCTCCCCTTGAAAGAGGACATGACCCTTCATTTGAACAAACTCAAATCCCCTTTACCCAAGGACACTCTATGCTGTGCCAAGTTTAGATGAAAGTGGCTCAGAAGAAGATGAATATGTGAAAAGTTTAGGATGACAACGCTATCAACAAGGACAACGACAGACAGTGGACAAATTATGATCACAAAAACTCACTTGAGCCTTTGGCTCAGGTGAGCTAAAATGTTTGATCAAGTGCAATTGTCAGTCAGATCTAAAAAAATCCAGGGCATCAATCCACTTCTGAATAGATCAACCTAAATATAACATTGAATCTGTCTCTTCAAAGTCATGGAATTGGACCATTTGAAGGTAAAACAAAGGGAGAATACTGGACAGCCCAAGGCAGGACCCAGGTTCCTTACCAACTAAGCTACTTAGCCACTGGCAAAAACACATCACTGACCACCACAGAATGGAATGTTACATTTTTATTAAAAAATGGATCCAAACTGGTATATAATTCAAATTCTGTCAATTTCTTGTAATATAGCCATTCAACAAAGCTGAGGTTAAGTCTAAGGACATAACAGACAAAATCTCTAGTTGATGGGATGAAAAATAATGTGATTTATAGGAGGCCAGTTTGTTGACTGGGCACACAAAAATTCTGCAGAGGTCAAATTAGTTCGACCAATTCAGAAGAAAAGGTCATCTTGGTATCAGAAATAATTTCCACGTAAGGTATTCTTAAGTGGCTAATATCTGTTTTCTTGAGTAAAAACTTCATATAACATAAATATACATCTACAAGTACATTTCAACAGAATGTATACAATACAACACATAAACCTGAGTAAAATTGAAATGTGACATGGTCCTAATAAAAGAATTAATTATTATAATTGATGCCATACACAGGTGGAACTCAAACAAAGTCTACAGAGTCAGAAGAAAATTTGATAATGCTGATTATCACAGATAACAACTCAGTCAAACACGACCGTCTTAAGGGAGTCTTCCTCTTTAATCTCCAGTGTTGCAATGGCTCCATCATTAAACTTAAAGGAGGAACCACCATCCACCACCAAACAAGCATCCCACATTCGAGAACAGATCTGAATTCTGTCAGGAAAAAGAACAAATAGATTACTCAGATAACAGAAAGTTTGCATAAAACTTCATAGAACTAGATACAAAATGGAATACAGTACATTTATGTCATCCAAATGAAAATGTTAAATTCAATTCTTTATAGCCAGTATCTTCAATAACACTGACCATTAATAGGCCATTTTTGAATTACTTCCCTTATCAGAGTTTTTCTGTAAAAATGAGCAGGAAAAGTACGTAAAGAGGACCATGGGAACACATTAACACATTTACCGTAAATATTCAGAAAATAATGCATTTCATTTATATTAAAGTAAATTATGATGGAAAACTGCATTTAAAAAAAGAAACATTTTTAGTGAGAGGATTGAATAAAAGCGTCTTTATGTACGTAAAAATTGATAAAATATACTAGTATATGATTTTTATTTATGATTTTATAATATATATTTCATTTTATATGTACAGTTGTATATTTTGTTTTTGTTTTTTTTAAATTAGGCATTTCTGTTCCTCTGTCACATGATTTTAGGCACTATAATTTGTTAGCATTTTTAAAGAATGTCAACAAATCAAGCAGTTCAGCAATGGCCTCTTGGTATCCATTAGGTTTACTTTACATGTGAGACATGCAGGTTTTTGATACCTTTCTTATCATACTTGAAAATTATGACCTATTGCAATCTCTTGATGTCTTTATCAAACTACTTACTTTTTAGCAAACCCTTTTGGATGCTGCACTTGAAAGACACCTACAGAAAATTTTTTGTGTAAGTAAATTGTTATAAAAAAATTATTCCTCATCTAAGAAAACTTCTCGGGCAGGAAAAACAGGAGTGGTAGCCAGTCTACTCTAAAAGCCATTCGTCTGACAAAGATCTGGTGTAATACATACATATAACTACAATATTCACTTTCTCATGACAAACTGAACAATTTGATCCAAAACAAAATAAACAGAAATAAAAAAAAATAAACAAAACCAAATGGACTAAAAATAAGAAACATAGACTTCAAAGGAAGAGTTAGTGTGTAAAATGTTGATTCATTTACCATTACGGACAGGGTCTCTGGTTGTGAAAGCCATCTTGGGTTCACTGGGATCAAACTTTAGAGAGTCATTGTATTTTTGAGTAACTTTATAAATGAGGTTTGGATCCAACAAATTTGTTTGTCTGCCTGGCATCAATTCATTGGCTGAAAATTAACAAGAGCCTCAAGTAAATACAGTTCATTTCTATGGTATACTGTATCAGGAAGATCAATTTCCACAAATACATGTATATACATGTGGTACATTACATGCATAATTATATCAAAGTAAAAAAGTAATTGGTTTTCAAAGATTTTTTTAATTGTAGATTGATCATTTTTATCATACAGAGAATGTTAAGTGTTAAAGATATTTCTTATAGGTCACAATAAAACATTCTAAAGTCAGATTTGCAAGTTTTTATTCTTTCAACTACTGACTTCTGAAAGGTTAAAGACATTCTAAGATTTTAAAAACTTTATAAAAGAATACAGCAGCATATTCCAAGTTCAATAACTTTATATAAAGAAATAAATGCAATTCCTCACCATATCCTAGTATTGTCTCAATGGCCTGGCGTGGCAGATTATTTATGTGGTAGAACCAGGAACTGGACCCTGTCCCAGTACAAATGGCTATACCAGAACTTTTGTGTTTCTCGCTCGGATGATCATCTACCTTTATTTCATAGTATGAAACTCTGTCCAAAAAGAAGATATGAGGAACAAGACAAGCAAATTCAAAGAATTGTGGTCCCCCACTCTCAGTGTCTTTGTGGTTGTGATACAATTCTTTATACTGTCTTGTCTGTCCATCAAGCAAAAAAGATTTAAATTTTTGAATTAATAAAAGTTATGACCAGGATTAAAATTTTAAAACTGCATCAAACTTCAAAATCAATGTTATGAGGTCAATCTGAACGGAATGCTCATGTGAAAAAAAAAATATGAAAGCTTTGTCTCTTCTTGAGCAAACGTTAGCCAAAGTTAAACTTTAAATAAGTATGTCAAACCTCTAGGTCAAGGTCATATAATAAAAAATTAAGTTATTTCCTGAAAGGTGTAGTCACAGTTAATGTAAATGCAAAAGATAAAAGCCTTATTTTCTCTCATTCAAAAGTTATGACCAGTGTTAAAAATTTTGAAAAGTTCTATAGCTTAAATTTCAAAGTCAAGATTATGAGGTCAATAGCCATAGTAAATTCCAAAAGGCCTTGTAACAGACACTACACATGTTAAATATGAACGCCCTACCTTTTCTCATTTAAAAGTTATCACCAATTTTAATATTTTTGTAAAGTAAGTCAAACTTCAAAGTCAAGGTCACTGGGTAAAAAATATAGCATAACTGGAAAAGTCTTGTCACAGGTCAGGCATATGTCACTTATAAACACCCTTCCTTCCCTCTTTCAAATGTTATCACTGATGCTAAAAATTTTTAAATGTAGGTCAAACTTCAAGGTCACAGGTCAAAAATTTTAGTCCATTTGAAAAGGTCTTGTCACAGGTATTAATGTACATGTGAAATATGAAAGCCCGGTCTTTTTTCATTCAAGAGTTATGACCAAGGTTAAAGTTTCCGTGACAGAAGGAGGGACTGACAGACAAATGAGATTTAAAGTCCCTCGCTTTTGCAAAAGCATGGAGACAATAAAGTCAAGTTTTTTGTAAGCCAAAATTTGGGTTGTTCTGTCTGCATTCATTGTCAAAAACTCATATATTTTAAGTTTAAGCATATAATGTACAATTATAGTTAACCAAAAAATGCAGATTTGTTGGATATTCTTGTAGTCTTTCAAGTCCCCTTTCCTCCAAAATATACACCCTAACCAAGCTTACATATAAGCCAAACTTCATATCTATTATAAAACAGTTTCTACAGTTAAGAATAGTTTTTCTTGTCATGAAGGTTTACAAAAAAGTGCCTTTCTTTCACAAGGTTTTCATTGTGCTATTATCATACCACTTCTCTATAATTATATTGCAACACATTACATCATAAATAAAACATTTTGGCAAATTGAAAGCTTATTTTTGGAAGAAATAGAACCAGTACCTTGAGGACAGACATTCTCCTATGAAAACCTCATTGAGAGCCAACACCGGAAGAACCCTAGGAGTGGTGGCATTCTCCGATACATTCACATTCTGTCTGTATGTCTCGCCCTCTCCTACATGTTCTGTGAAACGATGTTCATAAAACTGAAGTTCTTGGTCATGAAGTTCTATTGGTTCATCATTCTCATGATGCCCAGACATTGTAATGCGAATCCTCTGACGTCGTTTCCACCTAAACGAAAAGTGATTCTCATTCAACAAACATTAAACCAGAAGTCTCTGATGAAACTATAACTCTAATGGTTTGGGCCTTTTGCCCCCCCCCACCTCCTGCCCCTTCACCAGAGGCACTACAGTGAATTGTAGTTTTGCTGTTCTTGAGAAGAAATTCTTAAACCTATCACCTATACATCCCAAGCAAAAGCTTGGACCAATTTAATGGTCTTCCACCAACACCATGGTTTGAACAAAGTGGAAGGTGCTACATTTTTATATTGAATCAAAGTTAAACATGTTTTAAAAAAGACTAAGATTTTATCTATATATTCTATTTAAAATTTTAGATTCCTTTTGTAGCCCCACCCAGCCTCCAAAGCCATAGTCAGAAAATTTGAATCTTCACTTTATAAAAAGCTTAAACATCACTTTATCATTTCTGGTTCTTGAAAAGATTTTAAAATTAACGATTTCACTCTTCTTTAACTTGTTCTTAATTATGCCCCCTTAGAAACTGTCCTGGCCCTTTTTTTGAACAAATTTGAATTCTTAAAATTCAAGAATGCTTTGTCACAATTAGCCTGAAATTGTTCCAGTGATTCTGGAGGAGAATTCAACACAAAGAAAAGTTTATGTACATAAGATGGCACACAATGATAAAAAAGATAGCAATAGGTCACCTGAATGACTCAGGTGAACTTAAAGAAGTTTAACTCACAAAAATTGGTTTCAGCTAAGAAAAATATGACCAGATAAATCAAATAACTAGAAATCTCTCACAGTATTGTCCATTTTGAAAGCATACCTAAATTTTCCCTCTAGTAGTCTTTGTAACGCATGTTCAAATCTGGCTCCAGAGTACTGTTCTTTTGGGAGACAGAGACAACCTTCAGATCTAAAAAAGATACAAATTTTACTACATGTTTACTGGTGGGAATAGAATGATATTGCAAGGAAAAACAATTTCACATAAAGACACTGATTACATTCATATCATAAAGAATCTTAAACAAGAGTCATATACTGAAAGATTAATCTATAAACAAAATTGAGTGTTTTAATAAAAGAACATGTATCACCTGCTCTATAGCTTCATTAAAAATGTGAATAAATCTAAAAGTGGTAAGCTATTTATTTGTTACTAGCATTATAGTTTGTGCATTTGCTCGCAAAGAAAAAAAAAAAAACATCTTTGGAAAGTAAGGCTGCGACAGAATCTGACATTCAAATACAAATATGACTGATTTCCCCAACCCTCAAAGCTAAAATGAATGATAAAATTGAAATGATTGAAAAATAATTATTTTATCATTTATTGATATTTAATAAATACATATTTCCAATAATCCTCCAAAATAGATGTCAGTCTGTCTTTACTGCAATGTCAGTCTACAACGATTCATTTTGGAATACCAATCTCGATGTATTTTTATAATATTTAAATTTCAGTTTGTGTAGTAATTATATACATGTATCACACAGTTTCAAGATACAGTCTCATGAGCTTATAAACATGTATAAATGCTAATTATCAAAAACCCTGCCGCTTGAAATTAAAAAGACATAAGTTATTTAAATTAAACTGTCCAGAGTATTTTTGGCAAAGTAGGTCATAGGTCAAGGTAATATAACGCTGGTATTTTAAAAAATATTTGATAACAAACACTGCAGATGCTAAATAGCATAAACTTATCTCTTAAATGTCAAAAATATGCTGTATAAATGTATCAGCACAGTGAACTACATTGTATTTTTGAAAATTAGGTCAAAGGTTTATTATTTGTTGATATTTTATGTGTTTCAGAAAAGAGGGTTGATAAAACAAGAATATTTTATTGTTTCACACCTTGAGGGGTCAGTGTTGATTCCAATCAGAGGTTTGTCATGGTCCAACACTTTACTGGCAGCTAACAGATAGGTACCATCTCCTCCAGCCGTGAACATTACATCGGCCCACTGGATAAGGTCTGAGTTAAACTCCTGACGTGACACAACTTTGGTTTCTATTCCATGCTTCCTACAATGTTGTTCAAAAAGATTGTTTTCAAAATACATTATATTCTACTATATAATAATGTGTTGTCTTTTTTTCCAATATTTTTATACTGTTGTCCAGTTTAAAAAAAAATATTTTTTACATGTTGTGTCTTATTAAAATACTATATGGCATCCTTTTAACTTGTGTTTTAAGTGACTACATACAATAAAGACTTTGTGATAATGTCTACACTCCTGCAATGAGTTTCATGACGGCTTCGAAGTCCATTGTAATCAGAGCGTTTGGCTTCCAGCTAAAATACAAAAATCAAAATAAAAAATTGTTATACATTTCTACATACTATATTCACAGAAAATGATAAAATTCAAAAAACAATGATATTGAAGACCTGCTAAATATACATCCCCAGCTTAAAAAATCAAATCAAATATTTGCAAATTCTAAAATACAGGGTAGAATGTGGGAATTTAACCATTTCAGATGATCTATATATCATGAAAGTGTCCTAAAATACCCAAAACCAAACACCATGTTAAATCTATTTTATAGAAAAAGTTAAACATATTATAGTGACTCTAGACATAAGTAATTGACAGAGACTTGCAATGTCCTTTAAATCACCCAAATGTTTATTACAATCAAAGATACACAAAAGGTTTTTCAAATCTAGTTGATAACACACCACTTAAAATATCACTGAGGTCTTTATTTTTTTTTATTGATATATTTAGGAGAATTTGGTAACAAAAAGCATTAATTTTATACTTTTTGCCCTAGATTGCCATATCTACTTCACTTAAGGTAGTCCGATCCTCAGGTTCATAAAATCAGCAGTTTAGTAATTGAAAATACTCACAAAAATATCGCTGAATTCACAAAGTTATTTATAAATTTACCAAAGTATTTCATAAGGTTAATCATATTATAAAGGGAAAATTATCAAATCTCCAATATATATTCAGGAAAGGAAATAGAAACATCAACTAAAACTATTCTATTCATTTTCTGACTGAAAATTGATCAACAAATATATTTTAGGTTAAAAAACTATAGGTATCCATGCAGACATTCAGAGAAATTTGCAGGTCTTTATACTTATTCAGTATTCTAGGTCTTCTATTTCCTTTAATTATTATATTAATAATACATAGTGTAAAAAGCTTGTGCTATCATTGCAATTAAGACATCACAGATCACTTCTAGTTTCATATCATGCTAATAAGTGTTGGTATCTAAGGCTAGATTCAAGAAAATCGTAATTCTTTAAAACTGTAATATTTATTTTTGACTTTTATAGGATATAAATCAAATGTCAACTTTTACAAGACCATTTCTTAGACTAAGACTTCAAAGAACCTTGTATTGTATTAAAATGCATAAAATGAAAATTGTTGCATGAAAATTTTTCAATTCAAGCTTCATGTTGAGACTTTTTTTTAATTAAATAATAATTTTAAGAGTTATCCTTCGTGGATGAGGATTGGATATCCTTAATTTGAAATACTTCAGTGTACATTTTCATACTAAAGTAATAGTAAAAAGTTATGTTCAGAAAAAAGTGTGGGGAGGCGGAGGCCTCCTGTACCCCCCTCCCCGATTCTATGTGCCTGAATGATTTGTTCACCTTGATGTAAGCATACATGTGATATGTACCGGCGGTACGCAAAATGTACCGTTTTTACAAGCCCATTCATCATGTACCGGCGATACACCAAAATTCACGGAATATGAAAATTTGTACAGTATTTTGAATTTCTCGCTAAATGCCACCATTTTCCTCTCATTCTCGCTAGCGAGACACTGGAAAACGTCACCTGTGTTTGACACTTGACCTTCTGATAATTGTGTAGTGTACACAAACCATCACGTGTGAAGGTGTGAACTGCCAATTGGGATAATTATCTTGCTATAAATCCGTTTCAAGATACCCCCCCTTTAGGTAGCTTTATTTTCAATATGGTACTTAATTATAACTGTTAATGTTTCTTAACTTGATTGAAAAAAATTAAGCCAACTTCTGAAGTTGATATACATGACTTAATATACATGAATCTGACCCAGATCTCTGTAGGTATAAAATATACGATGTTTATTACCATGATTGCGATGAAATAAAGGATATAGTTTTAAGTTTTTATGTGCTGAAATTTATGTATGATTGTACTTGCTGCTGTAATTTAGCATTGCTGATGTATATATCAGTAATATGAACAAGATGAAAATTGGAGACATTGACTCTCACGTTAATACTATATAAAGCTGGCAAACAAACTATCATCTAAACTAACTTAATTTATAGTCGATTCATAAGAACATTGTGATTATAAAACACAATATATGAAATTTTAAAGCATTCAAATCTCCATTACAACTTTTAAAATAAGACATTTGCAACAATATATATTTGTTGGTTTAGAAATAAGGTGCCTTATCATAAGAATTTAAGCGCTATTTTATACTGTTTTTTTGTACTGTTTTTTGATAGGCAGAGTACAGTTTTTTGACCCAAATTCCAGTTTTTTTATGGCTCCTGTACAGTTTTGTGGTCTTTGACTTATCACATGTATGTGTAAGTCAGCTGCAAGTGAAATAACTTTCCAGAACCATTTGTATGAATTTGGAAGTTCTCAATTTATTTTTAGTCCAATGTAGAAAAAAAAATAAATCCTCATGTTAAACTGGATGGTCACATGCAGGTGAACATAAACGTAGTATTTTTTCTACAATGTTGATCTCAGCCAATCAGAGAGCTTAATAATATAATTTAGCTATATAATATAATAAATATACTTAAGATATTTGTTTACATAATTCTTGAGTTCCTCTTCGCTCGATCCTTTAAATACCGTCTTTTCAAATTCATATCGTGTCATTTTCTTTAGAACAACAGCTTTCTTCGGTTGGAATTGTTCGCTTCCATAGGCCCTAAAGTTATTGTATGCAAAGTTTTTCAGGATCTGCAGGTGCGTGACCTTGCTACCGAGAATAACATGGAATGCATTTAGTTGTTGAGACAAAATTTGACTGGCCATACCAGATATAATCACTTTGATTGTATGTCACTGATTTAGTTACATTATATCACAAAGTAACACTGAAATTGACCAACACATGCGGTTTGTGTACAACTTTAATTTCCATAGGACACCATGTTGGAGGGCAAAGTAAAGTCAGGCTCTTTGTTTTCGTATGAACACTACTACTCTGTAAACCTGTATTCAATTCATATATTACTTTTAGAATAAAACATTTTGAATAATTAAATTTATTGAAGGTAGAAGTAAATATTGCAACTACGGACAGATAGTTAATAAATCATAAAATACGAAAGTGTCACTGTGTAACAACTCTCAAGCAAGACGAGCCTGGAGTGACACGACACCGGTAGCACACGGATGGTTACATCGTCTGTAACAGTTATTTGAAACTTTGTACAGAAAAATATGTTACCACTTCACAAAGGAGATGGGGGCTACCGACCTGGATCTAGAATCAAAGAAAAAGTTTTGGGATGGATGAGGTAAACATAACCTGTTTATCTTCCTCAGTAGGCATGGCATATGTTTACAACATGCAACATGTGTTAGGTTATTATTTCATCTTAGGTGTATTCAACGTACGCAGATGTATGGCACTGTGGTGTTTATAATGTTTATACACTTAAGAAATTTGCTCCACAGATAACTTTTATAAATTAGTTATTTCTACTTTGTACGTATAGATTCATTATGTTACTAGTTCCTTTATCATAACATGCATAATTTATTTTAAACTATATTTTCAGGAATACTGACACATTTCAGACATTTTATTACTAAATGATGGGTACTACTAAACAGAGTATGATAGAGTACTTTAGAGTACGCTAGAAAAAATGTGTAGTTTAATGCAATTAAATTGTTTATTTATGTAAATATAACTTGATTAAACATTATTATAAACTAATATTGCAATATTTATTTCAAAATACTTGTTTTTAGCACTATTTTGACAAGAAAATAACATTCATGATTCAATGCATTAAACTGTTAAAGATTATTAACACTCTGATCTCGATTAATATTTTGTTTCAGACTTACTAACTTCAACTAAATTCTATCAAAAATTAAATTTATTGCCCTATATAAATATTTTTTACATTAACAATGAAACATTTCAACATGTTCAAGTTAAATTAGATCGGGATCAAACGATAAACTGTCACCTGAAATCAGAATTTGAAATAACTCCTAAAATAAGGAAAACATACAAATCTTATTTAAAATATATATTCATTATGTTTAACTAAAGTAGAAAAACATACAAAAAGTAGTTAAATTGCATTAAATTATTAAATTTTACTAGCGTACTCTAAAGTACTCTATCGTACTAGCGTTTAGTAGGACCGCTAAATGATACAGATTTTTTTTGTGAAAATATACATATTTAAAGGACAAATATCATGATTCCATAAGATAGTATTACAGTGTATAAAGTCCCAGAGTTCAAGAAATGTCAAAAGATATGACATTTAAAGCATGACAAAACATCATCTTGCCTTATAATATATAATAATCAAATTTAAGACTGTAGCAACTATGCTAGTATTCAGTTTGATATTTTGAGGTTGAATATAATAGACAATAAAAATAAGTAAAGATAATGTAAGACAAGAAGAGGTGTTTTTGTATTAAATATTCTAAATTTCATCAAATCTTAACAGAACACAACAGCACCAATTATTTATGTATCTTAGGGATTTAAACCATAAACTTAATGCCCATTACCACATGTTAAACATAAATTTTTTATGTTATTATCCTCATGTAGGAATTAAAAGTTGATCACTAAAGGTCCCCCAGCATCAATTATTGAATACTATTTCCAAAATCAATGAAATTAAAAAAAAAAAAAAAAATCGTGGAAAAAGAAATAACTTTGCACTACTTCATATTTTTTTTTACTTCCATATAAACAAAATGGTGGCACAATGTTGTGTTGAACTGGATAATATGAGTAATAATTGTTATTGTTGTAAACCCAAAAACAAACAAACAAAACCAAACAAAAAAAACCCCAGCACCCTGACATCAAGACATGACTTAAATGTATTAAAACTTCACTTTCTGGTGTTTTTAATAGATTATGGGTTTTTGATAATTCATATATACTGTTCTAAAAATGAAATCATTTATTACTTAAGAAAAGAGCTTCCAACTGATATTTCAAGGTCACATGCAACATCCAAGCATGAACAGCGTTGTCAACAAGCTTAATTTTCACACATACCTTTTCTGATCTCTTGGACATAAATACATTTATATGAAAATGTTATTTATACAATGATGCTTAAGACTTGTTAATATTGTACACTGAGGTATGAAAGTTTAATATATTTTTATCATTTTTTAACAGGATGATATTTGCAGAGAAAACTTCAAGGAATATTTTCTGTTTTCTATTGTTGAACTTATCATTTGCCTTTGTGGAACTTTTTTATGGGGTTTGGACAAACAGGTATGTTTGCAAAGAAATGTTGAAATGAAGTGAAAGCAACAAAAGTGTTGAAAGCATCATCAGAGTGATTTTAGTAGAACAAGAAACTTATTATTAATTAATTATTAATAATTACATGCCCTGTTTATTTGATTTGGAAATTTAAAGTACATTTTACATTTAACCTATAGCTGGCAAAAATCAGTTGTTAAAATTTCATTCTCTGAAAGTTAAACATTGCATTAATTTTTTTGGCAAGAAATTATATGACTTTCAACATTATTTTATATATTTATAGAAAACTTACCTGTATTCATAGTTACACCAAAGAATAAAAGAAGAAAAGAAAACTTGAAAGAAATATGGATGTTAATAGAATTGTATTTTCCTTACAGTCTTGGGCTGATTTCTGATTCATTCCACATGTTTTTTGACTGCACTGCCCTATTAGCAGGACTGGCTGCTTCTGTTATTTCAAGATGGCGATCAAATGATGCCTTCTCTTACGGGTAAATTTAATTTGACTTCATTTACTGCAGTTCCAATCAAAACAGTTATGTCTATAATCAACGAAATAATGTTTTAATAATTACATTGTTGTGATTGCTATCTATACATGTATTTGATATTGTACACATGGTAAACTTTGTAGTATTGGTGTTTCTGATATAACATAAATTCATGTATAAAATGAATAGTAAAGTGAGATTATTTCTCTGATCTTTTTAGGTATGTTAGGGCTGAAGTTTTAGCTGGATTTGTGAATGGACTTTTTCTTCTCTTCATTGGGTTCTTTATATTTTCAGAAGCCATTGAGGTAACAACACTTCATTAAATCTAGCTATTAGTTTTACGTTTCATAAACAGTTTATTGCATTTATTATAAATATAAGCAGTGTTAGTACAACAGAAAACACACACATTTTCAATTATACATGTCTATTTTATTAATGAATAGTTTATTTGAGAATTTACATGGCAAATAAATCTTTGGTTTTGATCCAGTGCAGACTATGATCTTTTCATGTATAGCTGTAAATGTTTTCTTTTCAGCGTATGGTGGAGCCCCCAGAAGTGAAACATGAGCGTCTTTTCATTGTATCAGTGGCTGGCTTCATTGTCAACCTTATAGGGATATTTGCTTTTCAGCATGGACATGGACATTCTCATGCAGGGGGAGGTAATCTATTCTTCTTACTTTACTTATTCGTAGGATACAATGTTTTTTTCTCATTAATTTATGTAAAATTTTGTTTGAAAGAAGATACATGTCCATCCCATTCTTGCTTTTTTTATATTTTGAATAATTATAATTGTTTAGATCATGGTCATTCTCATGGAGGTCATGGGCACAGTCATGGACTTGGTGAGTACTTTTGTAGTTCTGTATTTAGCTAAAGGGATCTAAATCCTTCAAATTTACATGTATGAAAGTTTTTGTCAGTTTAAATTCCCATTAGCTGTAAAAGTAATACATGTAACAGTATGTTTTCTGTGTTTTGTTTTTGTGTTTGAGCGGAACATAAAGTGTTGAAAAAACTTTGGACATAATACAGCCAGGCTGACTAAAATTTGCCAGTAATTTTGTTAATGCTTATTACAGGTTTGGATACCCATGATTCGCATAGTTCACATGATTCAGGTCATGGACATTCACATTCAGGACATGGTCATGGTCATTCCCATGAGAGTAAAGGTCATGGCCATTCCCATGGCGGAGAGAGTCATGGTCACTCCCACAACACAGCAAAAGCATCACAGGCCCAGATCATGCAGGGTAGATAACTCACTTTTGCCTTGTATTACATGTAATTAATTTATCTACAACTGGCATCAGAAGTTTGATTTAAGAATTATGTATTTTAAAAAAAATCATGACTTAGATGTTGTTCTGTTAGAAAATGCTTGCTTAAATTATTAGGAATGTAACTGTTTTTTAAAATGACTTTTCTCTTTAATGCTTAGGATTGAAATGATTTTTTTTTCTCTGCAGGTGTGTTTTTACATATACTGGCTGACACATTAGGAAGTGTAGGAGTGATCATCTCCTCCATACTTATATATTACTTTGGCTGGATGATTGCAGACCCTGTGTGTTCCATGTTCATTGCTACTCTCATTATTATAAGGTCTGTCTTTGTTAGGTGTTGCCATTGCTCTGTTGGTAGAAATTCTTACAAGTAGAATCCAAATTCTTATGGCTTATTATACAGTGCGTCATGCATATAGCGAAGTTCCAGGGACGAAAATTTTGCTTCATTATAAACATAATTGCTTATATTTGTTATGTTCATAATACATTTTAAAACCATGGTGAAGGAAAATCACTTCACTGTAAGCGTAAATTCATTATAAGCATGTTTGCTTTAAGCGTGATTTACTGTGCATGTATTTGTAATCATTTAGTTCACACAACTTCTGTAAAAAGAAATCTAATGTAAATGTTGTGTTTTAGTTTAATTTGTGCAGTGTAGTCTACTGATTTATGAAGAGCTATTTTTTAATCTTGAAAATCTAAAATATATTTTCTTAAAATTCTGATTTTTTTTCAGTGTGTTGCCATTGTTACGAGATTCTGTAGGAGTTTTAATGCAGCGCACACCCAGAGAACTAGACCATATATTACCTGGTTGTTACCAAAGAGTAAGAAACCCTAAAAATAAAACCCTCCTTGGGTTTGGAATAATATTAAATGATATAATGAATATGTATTTTAATCAGTGTCAATATCATTTATCCAAGAAATATATGTATATCTATATAGACTTTACACAAAATCATAAAACAGAGACTATTTTAGAAAATTTGGGAGTAAATAAGCCAGGGCACAGTTGACCTAACAGTCTTTGAAGTTTCTGATTTCCAGTGTTTGATTTTTAGTAGATGTTAATTAAATGCTTATTAAATTTGTATTTGGAAACTCTTTTTTCTCTGCTTTAGGTGTCACAGTTAGATGGGGTATACAGTGTTCAGGAACCTCATTTTTGGACATTATGTAGTGAAGTGTATATAGGGACCATTAAGTTAGAGGTAGCCATGAATGCAGATACTCGATACATCTTAAGTCAGACACATAACATCTTCACACAGGTGAGTGGGAAAAAAGATCCCTAAAAATTTGTTTGTAACAACTTTATACATATTTTAATATCTACAGAAAATATCTACATTGTGTAAAACTTCATTTTCTTTCAGGTTGGTGTAAGACAGTTGTATGTACAAATAGATGCCACACCAATGTGATGCACTCCTGTGAACAATAAATGAGAACTAAGTGATGGCTGTCCTGCAAAGGGTTGTAAACTTAACAAAATTCTGTAGAAATTACTAGGTAACTTAACTTTCTGACAGTGCATCAAATGTCAATTGTCAGTCACTGTAACCGAGCCGAGTATGGTGGGGGACCAACTTTACAGGTGCCAATACTGTGGGGGCTTTATAGACTTAGTCACGTCTGGGATTTTCTGATTGTCTTAAAATAGAGAGCTGTCTCTGGTCCATGGATTGCCAGTCTTAAAGATAAGGAGGACTGGTGTCTTCTTCATTCAGTTGTCAATGTCAGAGCTTAGAAAGAGAGAGTGAGAGAGAGAGAGAATCATGAAATGTTTGTCATTATTATGTGTAAGTCTGATGTTGTGTATGGTTTATAAGGTGCTTATTTATTAAGTTTACTTTCAGCATTTACATAGCAAGGATGGATGGATGAATGTCATGTAGTATAAATAGAATTTTCTTTATTCATATGCCATGTACATCATTTACATTAGTAAAACAAAAAGCAGGGTACTGTTAAACGTTCACCTGCAAAATACGTACTGAGAAAGTATTGCATTACTAAAAACAGAATCACTGCCATATGTTTCAAAGATCTGTGTTGGTGTTTATGAGGGTTGTGTGAAACTTTACCTGACACATATTTTACATTTCTAATCGGATGAATATTTGGCAGATACTTACAACAGATATTGATGATGTCTGAACACTTGGATTTTTGGGGGTAATCTAGACAGAATTATATTGTATGGTTTTCTTGTAAACCAGGTAATTTTAACCCCATGTATCCAAGCTTTTTTAAAATTTTAGATAAAAATATTCTTTTACTCTGTAAAAAAATTTTTTTTTTACATGTCTTAAGATATAATTGTGCAACTCATAAATTTTTAATTATATGTTTGTGTACTTTTGAAAAAGTACAAGATGTTAATACAAATTTGTTGATGATTACTACTGTTAAGAATCTAGTCTACCATAAATGGGCCTCTGTGTATATATTTGTATATAATTCATAATTGGTGCTGGTGCCATAATAGCACAGCTTTTACGCTAAAATAAAATTTTATTTTGTGATTGATTTGTTTTTATTCCAAGGTAGTACAATGGAATTAAGTGGTCCGTATCACATAAAGTGTAAAAATCAATGATCTAAGTCTTATATATATACACAGTTGTATACAGGAACCAGTCTTAACTAGAAGTACTTGGGGTGAGCTCACAAAATAATACACCCTGCTGCAATTTTTAAAAGGTGCTAATTTGCAATTTTTGACCTGAACTTGCCAAAGTGACCTTGGTTAAAAAATATGACACATGCTCTGGTCATAAGTCTTTGAGTGAAATATGGACATCTAGTGATTCTCCATCAGAAAATTAAGAATCTGGCACACTTTTTCTTGGGTCGAAGTTATGGCATACTTTTAGCTCACAAATAATCTTTGAAGTTTCAACTTCCAACAAAAATTTTACACTTTTTCTTCCAGTGACCTTTAACTTGCAGGAATGACCTTGGGTCAAGGTCATGTCACACTTTAAAATAAGTAATATTTGTGTGAAATATGAACTACGCGGCCTCAGTCAGGTCAGGTCACCTCGGGGGCCAGGTCGAGGGTCCTTATTTCACCATGTTGACCTCATAAGGGGTAATTAATTGTATAATAACCCTCTACCAATTTAGTATACATCAAATTTTGTTCAAATCATGGCCCTTGAGTAAATGAATATTTGGGAATGGTACATTTACATAGAATATTGTAACAACATTAATCCCTGTGTTCTAAAAAAGCAGTATATCTCCATCCTGAGTTAGTGAAATGTTGAAGCATCTCTTATGGTACAACAGGCCCAAGAATCACTCTTCTGATAAATTGTACAACTTTATCACTTCTTCTCCAAGCCTCTTAGTATCCTAAATATTTAGATATGGCCTTGAAATTCCAAAAGTACCTGGTAGGTCACCATGACCTACTTTTTGTTAATACACTTTGAGAACCCTGTATGCATAAACTGACAAAGATGGATGATTACAAAGCTTATTATCTGAAATGTTTAGATATAGCCTTATTCCAAAGAATAAGCCTTTGGCTCAGACGAGCTAATACCCTGGTAAATTCAAATAATCCCTCCTTCAACACACACAAATGCTCAAGTATACTACAGAAGGTACAATCAACTCTGTCTATTCTATACTTTCATAAATAGGAAGTAACTCCATTTTGTAAAAAAAAAAATACATCCAGTTATGTAAAATACTTCGAGGTATTTTTCCAAGCTTGTTAGAAAGGCCTTAGAAGATGCAATTGCCTCAGAAAGAGTCAACTTTTTCATGGTTCATATGAGGGAAAACAGTCTTCAATTTCTCAATATTGGTTTGCAATATCATCTTCAAAATGTGTAATTTAATTAGTTTCTAGTTCAATATTCCTGCAAGGCATTTTCTCTACTGTACAGTAATAGCCGTGGTGCAGCTATATCCTCAAATTATTTGTAAAAATGTATGGACTTTAATATGTTAACATGACATTAACCATCAACGTTGAAATATACAGTTAAGGTTGATGGTGCATGGAAAATTAATTTATATTAATCCATTAGAAAGCTATGGACCAAAATTATACTCTTCAAAAAAAGAAACACATAGAAAAATTTCTGAGACACATTAAGAATTGAATAGAAAGATTATTTAATAGAATGATGTATTGATGGTAAAGAAATGTGGTAAACAATAGGTCTACAATCTAAATGTCATAATTACTCAAGAATTTACTATCATAGACAGTTCAAGGTCATTAAAGATTAATATCTGGTATGCCCCCCTACAGACACCAATGATACCCTAAAAGCCTCATCCCAATGGACACATTAAATGAGTGTATTACAAACAGTATGGGAATGCTATACCACTCTTAATGTAGAGCTTTGGTCAGCTGTTGCAGAGTCTGGGGATGTGATTGTTTTTTGCAGATATGCCTATCCATTTTGTCCAATGCATGATCAATGGGTTTAATAAATCTGGCGATTTAGATGACCAAGGCATAACTGGATGCTGTGGCTTTGCAAGAATGCGAATGTCAAACAAGCTGTATGTGGCTGTGTATTGTAAGATTGAAATACAACTCCAGGATGCTGCAATATTGGAAAAACATGTGCAGGTAGAACATCGTAAGAATACAATTTTCTGTCAAAGTCCTTTGAATTTGAATGAAATCATTACATCTAGTTGCAATATACACTGTACTTCCACATCATTACACTAGCACCACCAAACTTATCCTCCTAGAGGCAGTATTTTGTAAAACGTTTATTAGGAAGCTTATGCTGATTCTAACATCATGCTTTGCAATTAAACAATATGGACTAGTACCTTAAAATTAAACTGTTCAGCAGTGTTGCTGTGGCCATACTCTGTTGGTCTGAGACCTTTGAAGTCGATAATTGCAGTGTTGTGGGGTCAGAACAATGGCATGAATAAGACGTCTGGCGATAATTTCAGCATCCTGTAGTCGATTACAAACAGTCTTGTTTAAGATATTCTATGCACTTCAAGGACAGCTTATGCTGTAGATGACGCCATTGTGAAGCTTTATTGAAAATCATGCAAACCACTGAAGCAATCCTGTGCTGCTGGTGTTATCCATGATTTGCCATATTTTTGGCGATCAATGTCATACCATGCACTTGGTATCTGTTTTACAGGTTAGATATGGTGCTTTGTGCAACATTAAAACCTCTTGCAGTTGTAGACTGTGGTATACCTGCTTCCAATCACCCAATTTCCTTTTTGCGATATTTAATATTCAGATGCAGCATTTTTAAATAGATCAGTTTTCAGAAAAAAAAAAACAGAATTGAAATAACAATAACCCAAGTTTTTTATAGCCCTTTTGTACCTAAAGAATGTGGATCAGAAACCAACATAAGAAAAGTGTTAAAAAAAAAGACTAAAATGTTTGCACTTGGCAAAATCAGTCCTGGAGGTTATAAAAATTTTTAAGTACATACTCCATGCTCAAACTCATACTCCATTCTCCGATACCATAAACATACTCAAAATTTATATACAACTGAGAGTGGAATTTTGGAGCATGAGTATGGATTTGGAGTAGGGAGTATGAGTTTGAGCACAGAGTACGTACTCAAAAAGTTTTATAACCTCCAGGCCTGGTCTTTTTGTCTGTGAGTTTTGTAGAATGGCTGTCAAGTTAACAATAGCATTAAAAAATGTGTTTTACTTGAATGAATCATAACCTCCTAAAAAAAATTGTATGACAAAAGTATTTTACATTATTCGGGTATTATTCCTATTATGTGAGCTCTATTTTCAATTGACCTTAAATTTTACCAAATGTCCTTGGTTCAAGTTGGGATACACCCTAAGTTCAAAAGTAATCTAATCTTCCATTTCTCCATTTGAAAGTTATCGACAAGGCAATAATTATACTCTACAGGTGACCTTGAACTTGCTCACATTGGTGAAGGTCAGGACACAACCTCAAGCTATAAGCATTCTATAACAGCGAGACTTGTTCTACCTGGACCTCGTGTATTCTGAAATCTTGCATAATACGATGTGTAGTCCCTTTTCAAAATGTTGTCTAATCTGGAATGTTGTTTAATCCAGCCAATTTCTTTGGAATCAGTGTGCCCGGATTAGAAAAGTTTCACTGTATTACCACATTATAAATGTACAAATTTGGTATTAAAATGTAAAGGGGGTGAGGGGTGATATCATTAGTTAAAATTTTCTTGGTGTTTGAATTTTAAGACAGTGTATATGATGGCATACAAGACATCACTTTTATACAAAACTATTGAAAAATTAAGTAATATTTCTATGTAGAGGACAGATCTGGATTTAAGGTTACATATATATGCATATAAGCCTCTTTAACTGAAAACCCCTTCAAAAGAGCAAGTAACTTTTTTTTCAAATAGCTTATTACATGTAATACACATGTACTAAATGGAAATATTACCCAATTTTGTACACAAGTTCAGAAGAAAAATAAATGACAAAAACATACAAAGTATTCTGACATTTATTACAGAAGCATTTTTTTTGTAAATGGAAAAATAATTTAGCTTTCTTTAGATTCACTCTGCAGACTCTCTGCCATGAACAGTTTTCCAAAACTCTGGGAGGCAAACTCCTCAATTTGGTGACAATAATTATTAATTTGTCCTGCCAAGAGCAGACTGTCCAATCGGGCTGGAGTAGGGATAGGCTTGAAGATTTTGTTAATGTCCTCCTCTGGTAGTGGAGCTTCCCCTTTAGATATTCTTTGCTGATTCTCTTGTTGCTGTAAAAAAAAAAATGAAAAGTTACCTCCCTGTAAAGCAGCAGCACTCTTAAAGTTTCTGATAAGTATGATTGATATTAGGGGTGTAACAATGCATTGAAACATGAAATTGTGGTGCATAGGAGTTGATCTGAAACATCAATACATAAAGGAATCAATTTTTTCTCTCAATATTTTCCAGAAGTATGTGCATTTTTTAGTTTACAAATTAAGAGTACTTGCAAAACTCATTAAAAATCCAAAAGAAATTAAACAAGAGGCCCATGGGCCACAGCGCTCACCTGAGTAACTTTGGCCTTGCTGTTTTTCACCTAATTTCTCTCCCCCCCCCCCTTCTAGTACTTATTGTGGCCCGCCCTACCCCCAGCGGTCATGATTGGAACAATAAGAATCTACACTACCCCAGGATGCTTCCACATAAGTTTCAGCCTTTCTGGCCCAGTGGTTCTTGAGAAGAAGATTTTTAAAGATTTTTTCTGTATATTTCAATGTAAAACTTGGATTCCCTATTGTGGCCCCGCCCTACCCCCAGGGGTCATGATTTGAACAATTTAGAATCTACACTACCCAAGGATGCTTCCACATAAGTTTCAGTCTTTCTGGCCCAGTGGTTCTTGAGGAGAACATTTTTAAAGATTTTTACTACATATTTCAATGTAAAACTTGGATTCCCTATTGTGGCCCCGCCCTACCCCCAGGGGTCATGATTTGAACAATTTAGAATCTACACTACCCAAGGATGCTTCCACATAAGTTTCAGTCTTTCTGGCCCAGTGGTTCTTGAGAAGAAGATTTTTAAAGATTTTTACTACATATTTCAATGTAAAACTTGGATTCCCTATTGTGGCCCCGCCCTACCCCGGGGGTCATGATTTGAACAATTTAGAATCAACACTATCCCAGGATGCTTCCACATAAGTTTCAGCCTTTCTGGCCCAGTGGTTCTTGAGAAGAAGATTTTTTAATGACCCCACCCAATTTTTGTATTATCTTGATTATCTCCCCTTTGATGGGGACTTGGCCCTTCATTTTTATAATTTAAACTCCCCTTCACCCAAGGATGCTTTGTACTAAGTTTGGTTAAAATTGGCCCCGTGGTTCTTGAGAAGTTGTCAAAAATGTGAAAAGTTTACAGACGGACAGACAGACAGACGGACGGACAGGCGGACGACGGATAACGGGTGATCAGAAAAGCTCACTTGAGCTTTCAGCTCAGGTGAGCTAAAAAAAAAAATTAAAAGATTTCTTTTATTATTATCATTTTTTTGCTTTAATCTTGGTTTAAGAAAGTACAGAGGGCTATTAGAATTATATTTTTCTGATAAAGAAATTATGAAATCAAGATTATTTCAATGTTAAAATTTCATTTCCTATTGTGGCCTCACCCTTACCCCAGAAGGCATGATATGAACAATTTAGAATCTAACTTCCTTAAAAACCATCCTTGAAAGTTTCTTTTCTGATCCAGTGGTTCTTGAGTGTTTTTTTCTGATCTGGTGGTTCTTGAGAAATTTTTTTTAAAAAGATTTTGCTTATACATGTATATTTCAATGTGATACTTTCATCCCCTATTATGGCCCCACTCGTGGGGTCATGATTTGAACAATTTTAAATCTACACTTCCTCAGGAAGCTTCTACCTAAGTTTCACTTTTTCTGGCCCAATGGTTCTAAAATAAATGATTTTTCAATGGCCATATCCTATCTTTGCCTTTTCATGATTATCTCCCTTTACAAGGGGATGTGGCCCTTCATTTGAATGATTTAGAATCCCCTTTACCCAAGGATGCTTTGTGCCAACTTAAGTTGAAATTGGCCTTGTGGTTCTTGAGAAGAAGTCAAAAATGTGAAAAGTTTACAGACAATTGGACAGACAGAAAGCTAGACGGTTGAACAATGGATAAGCGGTGATCATAGAAGCTCCTTGAGCTTTCAGCTCAGGTGAGCTAAAAACCAGTAAATGTAAGAACTTGATAGATCATGATATTCTGGAATATTTTTCTGCATTATTGTGATATTTTTTCCCTTCAAGACACACAGCACTAAATTATAGCATACTAAACACGACACACAGCCCTAAATTATTGCATACTAAACATGACACACAGCCCTAAATTATAGCATACTACACAGGACTTTTGTATACCCTTTTCTGCAGGTACTGTTGTTTCTGAATTAGCTGTTTCTGATACTGTCTCTGATAGTTAAGAAAACGGTTGGCATCCATTGCCACTTCATCAACACAGCCCATTAACTGTCTCAAGTTCTTCTCAAGCATTGAGCTAAAACAAATGAAAGACAATATCTTGTATATGTTGCCTGTTTTTATACACCACAAGAATTAATCAATAAAACTTCAGCTAATATACTAGTTCAGATTATTGTGTGTTGATCTTTATTAAACTAAAATTATAGCTGGACCAGGAATCGAACTGGGACCCCTGCATTACTAGTCAGGTGCTCAAACCACTGAGCTATCCAGACTGATATCCAAGGTCCCCATAGCCCAAACCGCTACACTGGTATTTGGTATTAAAATTTAAACAACTTTAGCACACAAACCTTGTGGCTAAGTCCAAGAAGTTACAAGTTTCTTCCTCTCTGGACTTTGGACATTCATCAATTTCACACAACAGAGCATTGACCAAATGTGAGTTTTTGACTTGAACTGGTATCTCCTCAAACATGGATTCAAAGCTAATGTTCGCTGCTTGTATGGCCTCTGGGGTGAAGTCCCCTTCTCCATAGAAATCCATCATTTCTGGTTTCAGGCGATATGCCTTTAAGGCAAGGAACCCCTGTGTTGTACGCAGTGGGTCTGTAGAAAAAGTGAAAATGTATCAGAATGAATAATTGAGGATATCTTCTCAAATGTACTAGCCTACTAGGTGTTTCATCAGCTCACTTCTGTTACAATTTCATTAGAAATTTGATACATGTACTTGGTATGATTAATTAATGAAACTTTATACTGAAAACAATGTTTAAATGTTGCAGAAGAAAACAAGATGTGTTTGTGAAAAACTGATGACATCTATGGCCAAGGTTAAAAATTCTCAAGTGCAGGTCAAACTCTAAGGTCAAAATCAAGAGGTCAAAAATGTTGGTACACAAAGAAAGGTCTTGTCACAGAGAATGTTCATGGAAATATGAAAGTGCTGGCGCCAACCAATCAAAAGTTATTGCCAAGTTTAATGTTTTTCAAAAGTAGATCAAACTCAAAGGTCAAGGTCAAAATTATAGGGGGTGAAACGATGAACCTTCTTCAGAATACGATAGGTATTGTATAATTTTGTCACCATTTGGTTATTTTCGATACATTTTGATAGAAGGAAACAAATTCAAAGTTGTTCTTCAGAAATCTTGTTTCACTGAAATCAGTAACTTTAAGTACGTGAAAATTGACTAGAAGAAATTGATTATAATGAATATTGAATATTAAAAGAATATACTCTTCAAAAATCATGTTTTTAAAATTTTAATCATGCTGTGTATTGTGTTTTTACCAAGGCCAAACCTGACTGAATAATGATCCTGATCAAAAATTAAACTGAACAATGGAGATTTTGTACCGTGTATCAAACCGACAAAAAATACTGTGGTAAACAAAGACAGACAGACAGGCCAAAAACTATATGCCCCCAAATTCTCAATAATGGGGGCATAAAAATAATTAAAGAGATCAGAATTTCATATTTCCAGCAATTTGCATATCCACTTAAAGCAGAGTATACAACATAATTCTCACACAAAAATCTTTACTATGTTGATAACTTTGACAAAACACCGTCTCACCATAGATGAGGACAACAGACTCCTCTATAGAGTGTTGATAGTTAAACTGAGAGTCCAGGAAAGCTCTGCTGATGAAGGAACCAAACAAGGTGCTCTGGTACCAGCCAACATGGAGATGGTCTATATTAACATGTCGTAAGTTCCTCATCATTTCCATTTGATACTGAACTGCAGAGAAATTCAAAATAAAATACATATGCAACAGGCCAATTAATGGAGTTAGTTGTCATAGGTGAATAATCAAAGGGGAATAACCTCTTAAAGTAGAGTAAAAATTTCCCTACATGATGACTGCTACATAATAACCCTGCTTGAGCACCAGAATCCCTGTCCCAATGGTAATGAATTCCACTTATCTAATAAAAACCCTTGCTCATTGCAACTATGTACTTGATTTGCCTATAAATGCCTAAGGAACAGAGAAGAAAATTTTCAAAAAATTAATTTTTCACTACATGATCAATAGAGCCATGCCCTTATACCAGAACCCCTGACCCTGATGCCATTTATTTCATAATTTAGAAAGATACACTAGTAATACTAGACCCACTTGCTTATCATAACCATGCACTTAGTCTACTTAACGCACAGGTACAGAGCAGGCCTCTAAGTGACCTCTAAAATTCAGGTGCCAGCTGGCTCCTAATAAAAAAAAACCAAGAGGCCCATGGGTCACATTGCTCACCTGAGCACATTGGCTAGGCAAAAGCACAAATCAGTAAACCAGTTCAGTATTGAAAAGATTACTACCGGGGAGGGGTTTGAATTTTAAACTACTTGATGATAGTTCCATGTCAATATAACAAATGGCTTTGTTGAACTTGAGAAGATTTTTAAAAAAATATTTCCTATACATTCCTTTGTAAAAATTTTATCGCCCATTGTGGCTCCTCCCTATCCCAGGGGTCATCATTTGAACAAACTTGAGTCTACACTACCTGAGGATGCTTCCATATCAATATGACTAAAACTATCTTTTCTGTTCTTGAGAAGAATTTTTTTTATACAGGTAACTCTCGATACCTCGAAGTCCGGGGGACCGAGGAAAAACTTCGAGAGATCAAGAGTTCGAGTTTTCAAGAGTCCGGAATTTTCCGGGTTTGTTGACAGGTTTTAAAATTAGTCTTACCGGATGTAATGATTTTCATGCAGTGCTAACCTTTTACACGTGGTTTTTATAAAACAACGATATTTTTTCGTAATTTAGATGAATATTTTATTTGTCTGAGTAAAACAAAAAATATATATCAACATTCCATGTATATTTATTTATTCTTTGAAATACGGACATCATACTACGCATTCGTTACATGAAAACAACATTTTACAGCGTCGTACATAGTATTGACTATTCTAATCATGATCATTGAACGCAGTTCTGTAAGTATTTGTCCAATAATAGTCGTCATATTGACATTGAGGCTGTTTCTGCTTTTTTCATATTTCGTTTAAGTTTGACACTGACTCGAAATAAAACTTTAATTAGTGTTTCGTCTTTTAATCAGTTACTACTTTTCACTGACACTGTGTCTCTAAATTATCGTAAGACAGTCGATGATAATTATTTTAATAGCATATAGGCAAAATATGATTAATTATAAATCAATTATCACCTTGCAGCATAAGTGTCACCTAAATAAACATCCCGGCCGTTCCTTGAGACCCGCGTCTTCTACCTGGGGCCATTTAAATGTCCAGGTAAAGGTGCTAATTATATAACCTTGTATACACAGAGCCACTTCGAGGTATCGAGGGTAAATTCTAATAGAATATGCATAGAGGGACTGCATTTTGACTTCGAGGGATCAAGGGTTTCGAGAGATCAAGAGTTCGAGAAATCAAGAGTAAATTTGCTTAGTTATATAGGGGAAAAATTCGGGACCGGAGACTCACTTCGAGCGATCAAGAACTTCGAGAGATCGAAGTTCGAGCCATCAAGAGTTACCTGTATATGTTTTTATGTAAAACTTTTGATCCCCCATTGTGGCCCCCCCCCTAGTTCATCATTTTAACAAAATTAAATCTATACTACCTGAGGATGCTTCTATATCAAAATGACTAAACATGATTTTCTTTTCTTGAGAAGAAGATATGATATTTTCCTATATGTTCCTATGTATATTTCTATGTAAAACTTTGATCCTCCATTGTGGCCCCAACCTACCCACAGGGGTCATGATTTGAACAAACTTGAATCTTCAGTGCCTAAGGATGCTTCCAAATAAATATGACCAATCAGGGCTTTGCTGTTCTTGAGAAGAAGATCTTTTAAAGATTTTTCCTGTATATTTCTATGTAAAATTTTGATCCTCCATTGTGCCCCCCCCCCACCTCAGGGGGTTATGATTTGAACAAACTTGAATCCACACTACCTAAGGATGCTTCCATATAAATAAGACTCATCATAGATTTGCTGTTCTTGAGAAGAAGATTTTTAAAGATTTTTCCTATATATTTCTATGTAAAACTTTGATCCTCTATTGTAGCCCCAACCTACCCCAGGGGGTCATGATTTGAACAAACTTGAATCTTCATTGCCTGAGGATGCTTCCAAATAAATACAACCAATCGGGGCTTTGCTGTTCTTTAGAAGATTTTTCCAATATATTTCTATGTAAAACTTTGATCCTCCATTGTGGCCCCACCCTACCTCAGGGGGTCATGATTTGAACAAATTTGAATCTACACTATCTGAGGATGCTTACATATAAATATGACTAATCAGGGCTTTGCTCTTCTTTAGAAGATTTTTAAAGATTTTTCCTATATATATTTCTATGTAAAACTTTGATCCTCTATTGTGGCCCCAACCTACCCACAGGGGTCATGATTTGAACAAACTTGAATCTTCACTGCCTAAGGATGCTTCCATATAAATATGACCAATCAGGGCTTTGCTGTTCTTTAGAAGAAGATTTTTCCTATATATTTCTATGTAAAACTTTAATCCTCCATTGTGGCCCCATCCTACCCCAGGGGGTCATGATTTGAACAAAGTTGAATCTACACTACCTGATGATGCTTCCATATAAATAAGACTCATCATGGCTTTGCTGTTCTTGAGAAGATTTTTAAAGATTTTTTTCCTATATATTTCTATGTAAAACTTTGATTGTTCATTGTGGCCCCGCCCTACCCCTGGGGGTCATGATTTGAACAAACTTGAATCTACACTACCAGAGGATGCCTCCACATGAGTTTCATCTTTCCTGGCCCTTTTTCACTTATTCTTTATTACCTCCCCTTGGAAGAGGGCATGGCCCTTCATTTGAACAAACTTGAACCCCCTTCACCCAAGGATGCTTTGTGGCAAGTTTGGTTGAAATTGGCCCAGTGGTTCTGGAGAAGAAGTCGAAAATGTGAACAGTTTACAGACAGACAGACAGACAGACAGACAGACGGACTACAGACAAAATGTGATCAGAAAAGCTCACTTGAGCTTTCAGCTCAGGTGAGCTATAAATTATATTGTCAATGCAAATTTTTAGTTGCCAGGCAAAATTTTCTTAGGTGCCAATTTAAAAACTGATATTAGCCAATAAACAGACTCATTGGGTTAGTCCCAGAATGGGGTGGGTGGGTCTATTGCGATCGTAAAGAAAACATCAGCAATAAAATATAAGCCAGCTAAATGCCGAATGATTTTAACTTAAAGGACTTATCGCATGTTTCCAAATCATTTGAAATTAAAAGCGTAAAACGTTCCTTATGACCACAGTTTAAAAAATTTTGTGTTTTTACTGCGGATAAACTGCGGTAATTATTCAATTATTGACTCAAATGAAAACCCCTGAATTAAAAATCGAAGTTAATTAGATAGCGATCACGTGACCCTGTGACGTCAAAGGCAACAATGGCTGATAGCTCTTCACGTAAATCTTACTAAAATATACGCAATACAACCTGAATTTTCTTCGTTATGGACGGTCAAATCTCTGATTTTATCGATATGAAATTTAATATCCAACCTTAAATTTTAGAATTGTCAGCAAGAATAATCTAAAAAATCCGTTAACATTGTAAAAATAGCAGTGACGATAGTGAGGGAGACACGCCAAAGACGAAGAAACTCGCCATCACAATACAATTTCATTTGTCATTTTATCACATGTATTAACTTATTTGATTCACAAATTTAATATTATATAACTTTGTTATTCTTCATTTTTAACATAATATTAATTTATGCAAGTATGCCTTCATATGTTTTGTAAAGGATGGCGGTCTTGAAAAATAATTTTCCAATCACAAAAAATTGCCGTAATCAGAGCTACAGATTCTAAATGTTTGGAATAAAAAATGAAAATATCTCAAAATTCTTATACGTTAGAAATAGTTAATGTTTCTATAGTAATTGAAAATCACGTTAGGAATAAATTTTTTCAGCATTTTTCATAATTAAGCTGCATTTGTCGTTGATAACTCCGTAAATAGTGTGCAACTTCTCATCTCTCTATCACTGAATTTTCGCCTATGACGTCAGAGCAGTATTTCGTCGAAATCTGAGTGAAATATGCATATTGCCGTATTTGAATTTCAACTGTCAATATCTCTTAAAATACGCTTTCAACAATGTTTATTGTATTCAGAATTTTAATAAACAAGGTTGTAGACAATACTTTTCATAAAATTAAGATTTTTGAAAAATCATGCGATAAATCCTTTAAGCATGCATGTTCAACTCCATCAAGTCAATGTTAGTAGTCTTCATATAGCATGTATAGCTTTCTCTCCTACTGGACAAAATGGAAAAGGATCATACAATTATTGCCGTTGTTTGATACAATGTTAAAACTCATATTCAAAAAGTTTTATTGGATCATTTCTTTTTCAGAAACTTTGCCTTTATATTTTCTCCCTTCCTTTATAAAAAGCTTTTACCTGATTTCTTGCCATATATTCTACCCATTGTTCCATGGGGATTGACATGACCTGGTAAATTACCCAACGAAAGACAAAAAATAGTGACATATTATAAAATCATGGTGTTATAATGGTACCTTCATCGAAGTCCTCCTCTTCATTGTGTCTGGGGAATGGGAAACAGTTTGTAATTTCTAGACGATTATCCACCACCAATCCCAGGAGGACCCCCTGTACTAGGTCTGTGCCACCTGCTCCCTCTTCTTGACAATGTTTTATGATTTTTAACACAACCTTGAATAATATTTCACTGGAGGTTAGAAGGTAAGGGGTTACAAGCGTATAGCTTAATCAAAACAATGACAAAGAAAACAAATATTCTATATACAGTTGAAGAACCACTCTTGCTCAAAATGGCAAAATATATAATGAATATTGAAATTAATTTACGAGGAAATTCGAAATACATTTATAATGAGGGAATTTCGTGGCAGAAAAGACGATACAGAGCTTTGAATACAGAAACACATATAGGATAAAAGGAATGTCAACTTTTAATTGTGGTTAAGACGCAAACTATTCCATACCAGGCCATCGATTTGAACATATTGAACTGGAGCACTTCCATGCTTTCTCGCCGACGCCATGGCGGAAGTAAAGACAGTTTCAAATACACGCTTGTTGAAATGTGAATTTTCTTCTTGATAAGCGTTTCTTTGACGTAGATTACTATGTTCATGAGCTTGTTGTCAGTTGAGTTGTGAAAGAAATCATCATGTCTCAAGACATTGAGATGTTTTATGTTAAGCTGTAAAAAGGTATGAAAGTCCAATCATGGAACATGTGGAAATAGATATTTTTGCCTAAAAGTATTCAAAAGCAACAATCTTTATACTATCTTAGATTTTGGTTCCTTTTAAAGGTTTATATTTTTTAATAAGAGTGGTCACATACTTTTTATAAATAAAATATTGCATATAAATATAGCTATAAATCAAGCTATTTTGAATAGCTAAATAAAACAACATCACAAATTCAAAGAGTTTGTAACCGCAGAACCTGTTTATCAGAAATTATCCTTATATCCTCTCATTCTCATGAGAAAAAAATCAACTTTGACTTGAGAGTAATTTGGTATTGACATTGGCAAATATTGATATATCCTGGATTATCCTGGACTGGACCACATGGAAACATGATTTACTGTTTTCTCTTTGAAGCTCATTTATTTCAATACAGATAGGAAGGTATCATGGGTATCAAGCGTCAGAAGCAGGTGCGGAAGTCTTTAGCGTTTTACAAGAAAAACTTTGGATACTCTCCGCCATACCATGTCATAGTGGACGGCACATTTTGTAGGGCTGCACTGAAGCAGAAAATCAACATTAGAGAACAACTGCCAAAGTACTTAGAAGCCGAGGTCAATATCTGTACCACACAGTGTATCCTTGATGAGTGTGAAGCATTCGGTAATCTTTTATTGTTTTAATTTATATTTAACTGCTGTTGTTAAAGTGCAGATTTGGCACGATGCTATCAGTTTAACTTTTTGAATTACTTGTAGAGCATATTTCAAGTAGTAATCTGAGAGTACAGATGATATTCAGATAAATATAAATTATTTTGTTGTTTTTGTTTGATATCTATTCCTTTTCAAAGGGCAGCATATATTTCTATCATGGTATACTATTTATTTTTCAATGACCTCCTCATTTTGTGCATTTCCTGTTTGGTCAACCTACAAGGGAACATCAGGATGTTCAAAGAAAATTATCTTCCACCAGAAACAACAAAATATTTTGTAATGTTTCCCTGAATTCCAATGTGAAATAATACATCTACTTAACAAATCCACATCAGTTAGACCCCATGAACATGTGGGCTAGTAGGTTTCAGCACATTTCAGGTTAAATGGATGAAAGGTTAGAAATGGTCTTATGAACAGTGCACATGTTGATGATATGAAAACTTGCTGAGAAATATTGCTCTGAAAGGGAAATAACTATTCAACAATCTTCTTGTGTATCAATGTACTGTTACATACTAGGAACTAATGTAAATGCTCTTTGTACCAGGCTCTGTTTTGTATGGACCCTTGAAGATACTCCAGCAGTATCAGAAAGCACCATGCGGTCACTCAAAGAGCATCAAAGGTGCTGATAAATGCATCCAACACACAACCAAAAAGACAGTCAAATACATTGTAGGCACTCAGGTAACGCTGTGTTGTTTGAAGTTGACATACCGGTACCAAGATATATCAGCTTTCATTTTTATTTTCTCTGTTTTGAAATGGGAAATTATCAATCAAATTGTGTAAGAATAAAAGATGTAGATTATTTCTTGAAGCATCACTATTTAATAAGATCTGTAACAAAGTGACAACATAAGTTTATAATGAAAAGTTACTTTATTAAGGTTCAGAAATTAAAAGCTACAACTTTGTTTCATATGAACCCTTCAGAAATTAAAGTAAAATAGTGAATATGGGATATATCCTGATATGCAGGTATATATGTTTTTCATGCCATGATACTATTTTTATGTGTATTGCAGTATACCAGTATTTCAGTATATTGGTATACCCTTAAAAATAGATACATTTTTTAACATAATAGTGAAGGGAGCATTATGAGAAGTTTCTTTTCCTTTAAGGATCCTCTTCTGAGAGAAGTTCTACGGAACAGATCAGGTCTACCAATTCTGTATATAGCTTTTAATGCCATAATGTTAGAAAATCCTTCCCCGGCATCACTGCAAGTAGCAGAGAGGAAATCCAAGGTGGAACTTAAGCCTGCTTCACATCAACAGACTGTGATACAGAAACTAAAAATACAGGCATTTGGAGAGAATGTGATAGTGAAGAAAAAGAAAAAGAAAATCAAAGGACCAAATCCATTGTCCTGTAAGAAAAGTAAGAAGAAGAAACCTGAACTGAAACCTAATAATGAGGAGAAAAAGAAAAGAAAGAGAAAGAGAAAAAGACATAAATCTGAACAGGCAGTTTCTGTTGAGTTATAATTCCTTGTTTAAATGTGTGCAGTTACTCCCATATTTGTCCATTTGTCTTTCTTATACATTTTTCAAGATCCATTTCTCAGTTTCAAAAAACTGGCATAAACATCCTACAGTGAAAAGGAGTTTTTTTCCCTCAAGTTCCTTCTTTCAAGGGGAGAAAATAGCAGACTAGTAATAATAGGATTGGGTTAAAGGTCCCTGATGTAGAAATAGCAGGAATACCAGGCATATTAAACTGGTCTAGGTGGCCATCATTTTTGGAGGATAGTTTTTATCCTCTGAAATTGGAAGATAGCAGTCTCACCACCTACAAGACTTTTCAAAACAAAGGGCAGTTAATGCTTAATGAAACAAAGAACAACAACTATTTAATTGCATTTACTACACATTTTTATGAACCATACTCTGATATCTTAATCAAACCAGATAAAAGATACAGCTACATATAACGTTTAATGAATAATTTTGATCTATATTATGATATTTGTGTAATTACTTGTACAGGCCAGGTTAATTGATAAACACACTAATAATATGAAAATGATAACTATGTAATATTTAGATATTACATGTAACAATTAAGAAATGTTTATTAACAGGTTTTTTTGAAAAATCAAGCTTAATTATTTATTATTTCATCCCGTTTAAAAATCCATAAACACTTCATTTTAAAAAAAGTTATATTTATTTATTCATTTATGTATATAATGTTCTCTTTAAATTACTTATTTCATTTATTTATGCAATTCAAATTTTATTCATTCATTATCATTTATTTTATGGGGCAGTATTTTGCATTTAAATATGGCTCCCCCTTTTTCTCCTTTGTAAAATTTAAAGGAAATATGAAAATTTTAAAGTATCCTTTTTATTTGTTTCATAGGGAGGAAATGAATATTAAAGCAAAAGAAAACCAGTTATAAGAGAATGCAAAAAGTACCAACTTTGAAAATTAATTGTAAAAGATCTAGACATAGAATCTCAAATCGCCACATACAATCAATAGTTTTAATGTATGAACATTTATTTACATATATGTACTCTGGTGCAGGCACTTTTTCATTAAAGGTAGGCACGAGGCATCCTCCAATCAGAGGATAATTTATCCCACAATACATTGCAATTTTCCTTATATGGAAAGAATTTGGCAGCCATATTGAATTTTGGCTATCCTCCAAGAATGGATTTTTTTCATATGATGAGTACCGGTAAATGAAATGGTATGGTGTCCACACTTATGTTAAGGCCAAATGAAAAAATATGTGTGGTTCCGGTTACCCAACCGTCCCTATTTTATACCTCCGACCCTAAACTGTTTTTCAGCAATTTTCATTTTTTTTTTCCAGAATCTTCTCCAATTTCCATCATGGGCTCAGTATTAGTTTTAGTTTCAGCAATGGTGGCCTCCTTGCAAAACATCATTTCAACACATAGTGCAAGTTTTTAATAGTGTTAAATCCAATGCAAGCTAGCATGTAGGTGTCCCCTACCAATGTTGACTAGTATATTATCACGCCACATCTAAATGCCACTTGCAAAGCAGTGATAGGTACTATTTAGAAAAATTGAGAAATCATTTTGTTAAAAAAAAAAAAAAAAAAAAAAAAAAAAATCCCTACCTATTTACCCTAATCTTTTTGGAGATGTAACCAGAATCACACATATTTTTTTGTTTGGCCTAACTAGAAATCTCTGATGAGACTGTAGTTCTACTGGTGTGTACTTATAATAAAGAAAGATGTATCTTAATATAGTCAAATTGAAATCTGACCAAAACTGTAGGAGTATAATGTTTTCAAAGAATTTCACAGAATTATGTATCTTAGTCTACTTGTGTACCAAGTCTTATTAAAATTGGACAAACACTGTAAGAAGAGTAGCATTTCGAAAAAAAATTTCAAAGAAATTTCTATTTTTAGTAACCAAGGCCATCTATTGAAATCAAAAAGCATGAAATAGAATTATGTATCTGTAAAATCATCTTTGTACCAAATCTTATTGAAATCATATAAAACTATAGGAGGAGTAGCATTTTGAAAGAATTTCACAGAAATTTCTATTTTTAGTACTTTTTGGTGCATTGTTTGAAATGTGCATCATTTTGCCTTCTGTTTTAACCAAATTTCATAAAATTGCTATGCAAGCTATAAAGAAAAAAAATTGCCAAGGAAAGTAAGACCAGCTACCGGTAATTGCATCTTTACTAACAATACATTTTAATAGAGGTTATTGTCATGGCACTGATGGTCAATCATAAATCCCAAACTATATCTAAAAGGAGTCAAAAGATGAAAATCTGACAGAATGCCCCAGAATCACAAAGCAATTTTAAACTAAAGTCAGAATTTGTATATTGTTTTAGAGTTTTATTTCAGACAACACATAAAATTTGAAATGTTATTAAAAATTGTTTATTTCAATTTTCAAGTGTCAGTTTATGTTAAATATTCATTTATGAACAGCTGAAATTTTGACCTAAGTTTAAGAGGTACTGCTCCATGTTGTTGGAGTCAGGTCTCCAACATTACTTATTGCACAGGTTCTTCAACCAGTTTCTGGCCTCATCCATCTAAATGAAGTAAATTTTAGTCCATGTGGTTTTGATTATATCTCAATGTGATTTACTGGAGCTGGAGGCAATAGTTATAAATTACAAGTTTAAAGGTCAAATGTAAGAAAAACTCTATCTAATGGTACTGAAATAACCATGTCTCATTTACATACAGAGTTCAATCATAATCAAAATAGGTAACCTTCAAAAAATAACTAAAATTTTAGAATTATCTTACCATTGTAAGGGTACATTCAAGTTTAATAACACCTAAATTTTTCACGCAGTTGTTGGAATCAAAAGATACTGCAAAGATCTAAAGCAAAGTCTATGGATATGGTAACCTAATCGGAAATAACAATATGAAACTTGGTAATATCTCAGTGAGATAAGGAAAAATAAGCAAAAGAATGTCTGAAAAACATTTATTTTAGATCTGCCACATTTAGTGAGAAGGGAACTGTTTTTTCTGGGAGGTGTCTGGTACTGGGGTCTCTGTAGTTATAGTCCAGTAATCCTGGGTATTCATTACAAAAGTCTGCATACGTGTCACACAATCTGCCCCATTCCTCCATTGTGAGCGAGAAGGAGCGGTGTGTGGGGTCCACATCTGATAACTTGAAAAGTTCATCCACAAGACCTTCCATGCTAGGAGGAAACAGGTCTCTGTAAGGAAAATCATACCACTGCATAATGTTTTAATAGAAAGTGGTTGAATAAAATAATCATAACATTTCAAAAAAAACCCCACAGGGTTCACACATCAATGTCAAACAAATGATGAACTCCTTACTGTGCCCCCCTTTTGATGTACTTCTGTCGGTAGTGAAATATGGTAGCCGTGACTTTTTCCACCACTGAAAATGGTTGATTTATAAGGGGTATTCTCAAAGGTTCTAAATAAACAACTGCTGTGTGGACTTTTGGAGGTGGCACAAAAACTTTTCCTAAAGAAGATGTTGAAGAAAAAATTCTTAGTATCTGTACATTATTATTTCTGGTAACAGTAAAAAATGCTTATAGTGAACACACTTGTAATGAATTTCTGCTTACAGCGAAGTGTGTTTCATTCCCAGTGGCTCTTAATTTTTAGCGATCTTAACAGATATAACAAAGTACATTTATAACGACGGAAAATAATCCTTCCTGGCACTTCATTATTAACGTGCTTACTGTATATGTTAGTTCTGTCTAAAAATGGGCTGAGGGTGAATAAAACAAAAGGCCCAGTGCCCCAAGCTTACTGGGGACACTAAGGCCCTTCTGTTCTTCATCATTAGATTTGTTCCCCCTGGATATTTATATTTAAAACTTTGAACGTCCATTGTGGCCCCAACGTACCCCAGGGGTCAAATATTAATTCCAATGTAAAACAATGGGTAATCAAAGCTTTACATCAGAATATATAGGAAATTTTTTTAATAAAATCTTCTCAAGAACTACAAAACCATACATGTAAGCATCCTCAGGTAGTGTAGATTCAAGTTTGTTCAAATCATGAGCCCCAGGGGTAGGGAAAGGGCACAATGGTGATCAAAGTTTTACATATAGGAATATATAGGAAGAATCTTTTAAAATTTTCTTCCCAGTCATATTTATAACTTTATAAGGAAGCATCCTCTGGTAGTTAAAATCAAGTTTTGTTAGATTATGACACTCGAGGGTGAGGTCGGGGCCACAATATATGATCTAAGTTTTACGTACACTGTAGGAATAAATGGGGAAAAAATCTGTTGATGAAGAACAGAAGTGACTCAGGTGAGCAATGTTGCTCATGGGCCTCTTGTTAATCTTCATCTGGATGAACTGTACTGAGGTACAAAAAAAAAATCGATGGCCAAAGAGCCACTTGTTATTAATTTTTAAAATTTAATAATTATTCTATCTAAAATCTTCATCATATTTAATTCTTACCTGGGATACGATATCTGTAACGAACTTTGCACAAGTGCTGGCACATAATTGTCATTCTACATCTATGTGGAGAGTTTCTATTGGCCAACAGTCTTTCTGCTACTTCATGCTGAAAAGTGAGAGTCAAAGGAATACGCCCATGTTGCCATGGACCACTTCTGTTTGAAATTTGTTTCAACCACTGAAGTAATAGTCCAAGAGACACATTGAATGGCAAATTTCCAACTATGTTCATACTAGGGATATTTCGGAGCCACGGCCTTGCATAATTTGATGGAAATATACTAGCTATGTCATACTTCTGAGCATCGCCAAGATGTACATCCAGTCTGCCTCCAGAGGCTGCTTTTAAAATCTGAAACCATCACATTCACATTATTATTTTAACACTAAACATGCTAAAAAGAAAAATCGATGGTTTGAAGCTGTTTCACAAATTTATATAATTTATCTTTTATTATTTAGATATATTTCTTGAAATCAATGCATAAAATTTAATGTGTTAATTTTCAAAATTCAAGTGAATAATGATAAACTACTCGTATTCAAATTCTTCAACACTGTACCATGCCCAGTGAGAACTCAGGTTCATTGCTGATTTGTTTTAATCACAGAGAAAAATGTGTAAGAATTTAAGAAATACAGATAAATAAGAAGCTATGTAGTACATCATTTACACAGAAAATAATACCTGATTTTTGACTGAAGTTTAATTGAACTTACCTCAAGAGGTGGAATAAACCTTGGGTCCTTTTCAATTACGTGTACTTTCAATGCATCACTTTCCAGTAAAGCCCTTGTTATTCCCCCTGGCCCTGGTCCTATTTCACAAATATGAGTTCCTCTTGTCACTGATATGCACTGGACAAATTTATGACACACATTCATATCAAGAAGAAAGTTCTGAGAAAGCTTTTTTGTTGCACTCAGTTTGTACAATTTTACAATTTCAGATATTTTGGGCATGGGAGGTAATCGACTCCCCATTTTGGTGTGTTTTTAAAGCCTGTAAAACAAGAAAAAACAATCATGAAATTTTTTTGTTTTTTTGTTTTGTTTGTTTGTGTTTTTTTTTTTTTTTGACAGAAAGGAATGTTGGATTCTTCCCCCACCCCCTTTGCCATTACCTGAGTATGATGTTAAAAATACATTGAAATGTATTGTTTAGAACATGTTAGGCATTCTTGTATATCTTCTAAGCAACAATGTAATTAACATATCAGTAAAAAGACTTGTATCATGAAAACATGTCATTGTAGAGTTGGACAGTTTTATGCAGATAAAAACATAGAAAAAAAAACTTTAGTACTTCAACCTGTGTCTGAAGATTTTATTTATAAAGAACTGAAAAACCTGAATGTAAACAAAAGTACTGGTTTAGATAATATACCAGCAAGGTTTTTAAAAGATGGTGCTTTTTATATCAAGGAACCTATTATGTCCATTGTAAATAAATCTATAATCACCGGTACCGTACCAGAAGACTTTAAAATGGCGAGAGTCAAACCTCTCTTCAAAAAAGGAAATTCCCTTGAAGTCGGAAATTACAGGCCAGTCAGTATACTGTGTATAGTGTCAAAAATTTCGGAAAAATGTGTTCATGTTCAACTTTTAGATTTTTTAAACAATAATCACTTGTTGTATTCATACCAATCAGGTTTTAGAAATAAATTTTCAACAGATACTTGTTTAATACACATGTTAGATTTTATTAAAAGTAATACATCTAAAGGGCTTTTTACAGGTATGGTAATGTTAGATTTACAAAAAGCTTTTGATACTGTTGACCATACAATTTTATGTGATAAGTTAGAAGTTTTAGGAGTTTTATCCACTGCGTGATTCAAATCTTATCTGTCCTGTAGACAGCAACAAGTCCATGTCAACAACATTTCATCAGATTTTAATTCGATAAACTGTGGTGTTCCTCAGGGAAGTATTTTAGGACCTCTTTTATTTTTAATCTATGTAAACGATATGGCTGTCAGTATTGATGATGACTGTAAATTAATTTTATATGCTGATGATAGTGCTATTTTTTATGCACACAAAGATCCTGCTATTATTGCTCATAAACTGGGCAGTGTTCTGGATAAATGTTCTTCATGGTTAGTTGATAATAGATTGTCACTTCACTTAGGTAAGACAGAATCTATTTTATTTGGTCCTCCGAGAAAGCTTAAAAATATCACAGATTTTAAAATTTTGTGCAATGGTCATGTTATTATAGGTTCTGAAAGCGTTAAATATTTAGGAATCTGTATTGACAAGTTTCTTTCATGTGAAAATATTGTATTAAGCATTATACAAAAAGTTAATGCCAGACTTAAATTTTTATATAGAAATGCATCTTGTCTTAGTACACAGTCTAGAAAGACCCTATGTTCTGCCTTGATACAGTGTTACTTTGACTATGCCTGTTCTTCTTGGTATTGCGGAATAAATAAGCAACTTAAACACAGATTACAAGTTACCCAGAACAAAGTAGTAAGGTTCATTTTAAACCTTGGTCCAAGAGAGAGTATTTCTAGTAATATTTTAGACTCTCTGAATATGTTAAGAGTGGAAGATAGAGTTAAACAATTAAGATTAAACCATGTTTTTAATATATATCATGGAAATGCACCAGCTTATCTCCATGATCATTTTGTGCTGAATAATAATATAACAAGAAGTGCAACTAATAAGAATTTTCATGTACCTAAGATAAAAGGGAAAGAGTCTACATGTTTTTTCTATAATGCTATTAAAGACTGGAATGCATTGCCACGTGAGATCAAGGAGATGAGTACTAAACAAAAATTTAAGAAAGCTGTAAGATCTTTTTTATCTAAAAATGCTAGTGATACTACGTGAAGGCTTGTCTAATTTTATTTCTATTTAATTTTATTTTAGTTTTATAAGCATTATTGTGATAATTTTTAAGGAAAATGTGTAATGAGAAACATGTCATTTTTCAAAGCATTATGCTATATTCATTTAAGTACCCTGCCTAAATTCCATTATTAATGTAATTTTTTTGTTACTAACATATTTGTAATTTAAGGACCCCATTGGAAATAAGCTTTTTTAAAAAGGCTTTTATGGGCTATCCTTAGGTAATACCTATCATCTGTATGTCATGTAATTTATATAATAATACATGTATATGCTCAATTAGATCTTTATTAAGTAGCATAGTGCTGAGATAATGTCTGTTTTTTTTTCTATTAGTGGGCTAATCTGTAATGTTTTAATTGTGTGTTATCATGACATTCTGTGATAATTTTACCTGAATAAAATGAAATGAAATGAAAAAAGATATGACATTTGACCAACATAAGACACACAACTCATATTCCTTACCCCCTTGGCAGGACTTTCACCTGTAAGTCCAGCAGTAGTCAATGATATCAAATGCAACAGGAAAGGAGAAAACTCATGGCCAGAATTAAACGTTTGAATTAAAATTACAGGACGATTAAAAAAAGTGTTGCAAACCGTAAATGACGGCATCTTAGCATCCAAACATTCGAGACATATTTCCAAGGTAATAACAGTGTTACCTATCATAATTTTGCGAGCACTCTGTCAAGGAGATGTTCTTCTACTAATCTCTTTAACCTAAACCCCATCATTAGTGTTTTATATGCCGTAATCAGACAATTTATTAAGAGGATACATAAAATTTTCTCTATTGACTGCTTTGAAGGAGGTTTTGGAGTTCGCAGATCTGTTTCTCTTTATCTGATTGGTTAACAGTGATACAGTTTAAATAAGAAGAACATCTCCAAGACTGAGTGCTTGAATAATTATGATAGGTAACACTGTTACCTTGGAAATATGTCTCGAAGCAGGGAACCCCCTGTTTGTTTACAATGTTGTTTCTTACCTTGTGTATTTTTATTATACAGTACAAGGCCATTCTCTAAACGTAAGAAGAAGTACAATCTGCTTGCATAGAATGACATATGGATGTGATTGACTGGGAAATTTTATATTTATTGAGAAATTATAAGCTCTTACATTTTTTTCTAATTAAGGGGGGTGGGGGGGGGGGGGTGGGGGCTATGGATCCACACTTTTGGCGCCTGTGTTTTGAGTCACTGAAATGTTTTTCTGATCTGACAAATAATTTCAAATGAAATGGTAATTTTTCAACCATACCAAATCATTCAGTCATATCAATTACCATTGTAGATGCATTGCTGCATGCTACTCCCTTTTGAGAAGTGAACATTTGGATGCCTGTACAGTTGTCCGTTTGCCCTATTTATATTGCAGAAAGTTGAATAATGAACCAATGGATTTTTTTCCAATAAATTATACATGTATGTACATTGGTACATAAATTGCACATGGAAGACAACAGACGTATGCATATGGTCAGACGTTTGCATATGGTCACACTAAAACCTGTCCTTTCAAAGACCCGGCAGACCAACAGAAATTCGGTAAATGTTTAAGTTTTATATTACTATATTTTAAGTTAAAAATATAGAAATATATTATAATTTTCGAAGAAAATTATCAATCTTCAAAGGTAAAACCTTGCTCATCCGCTGCTCAGCTCCATAATGGGCCTATTAACATCTCAGTCCTTTAATTGTTTTCAAAACATAATGCAGATTGTAAAAAAAAACACGGATATGAACCTCCAAATTACAGTGACATAATTAAACCAATCAAGCATGTAAAAAGCATTAATATCAAATTTGAATTATTTAATTAATATTAAATTTAAAAAAAAATTACTGTAGCAACATTTGAAAACAAGATGTGTTTGTGAAACACTTTTGCCCCCGTATGGCAGCTTATGGCAAAGGTTAAAGTAAAGTTTCTCAAAAGCAAGTCAAATCCAGGCCAAAAGATGAAAAATGTTGGTGCACAAAGAAAGGTCTTGTCTCGAGGAATATACCTGTGAAATTTGAAAGCCCAACCTGCAACTGTTCAAAAGTTATGGCAAAGGTTAAAGTTTTTTAAAAGTAAGTAAAACGTCAAGGTCAAAGTTGTTGGTATCCATGTGTGAAGTATGAAAGCCCTAGCACCAACCATTCCAAAGTGGTTGGTATCGAAAGGAAGGTGATGTCACAAGGATTGCATATGTGAAGTATGAAAGCCCTAACATCAACCATTCAAAAGTTATGGCCAAGGTTAAAGTTTTTCAAAAGTAGGTCAAACTTCTAGGTCAAGGTCAAAAGGTCAAAGTGGTTGGTGTCTAAAGGAAGGTCTTGTCACAAGGATTACATATGTGAAGTATGAAAGCCCTAGCTCCAACTGTTCAAAAGTTAATAACCAGAGGAAGGTCTTGTCACAAGAAATCAGGGTTGGCCGGGAAATACCAGTGGAGGGAATTACCAGTGGTAAATACCAGTATTTCCCGTCCTGGGAAATACTACAAATTTTCTCTAAACTGGGAAATATTGGGAAATACTGGGAAATACTAAGTTATTAGAGTTTTTTATTTCTCTAATTCATTCAATCTTATACAAAATTTAAAAATAAAATAAACATAAAAACAGAAAATGAATAATATGGAATATGTATCAAATTGCTATATAACATATTCAGAATGTATCACCTACTCCAGGTCCCATACCCAAAAGCATTCTGAAACATTTCCCTGGCTGTACAAAAACTGAAGTTTTTCAATTCAAGTTTCTTTTCAGTTTTGTAAAATTATGAAGTTTATTAATTATAAATCCAAGAACAACAACAAAAAAAAAACTTGTTTTCATCCTTCTATAAACACTGTAGTTATTACAAACAATCATGTTGTTTTAACAAATTGTTCTGGACAGTTTTGTGCTCCTGTTTTGAGAGATAACTAGTGCTAATTGTAACGGGAACCGTTACAGATGTTCCCCAAACGGCTCCCCAATCCCTTGTGATGCCCCATTCCCTACAAGCTTCAATAAATTAGACAATACTTTTGTAATATAGATGTACACTTTATTTTTAAGGGTATTTCATTGGAAAACTACTCCGATATAGCCATATGGGTATGAGCCAATCTAATAGCTACAT